AATTTGAATAAAAGTTGTCATAAAATCTATTTGCATTCACCATCATTGCACCATGACGTTTTGAAAATTCAAGTAAGATTTTCTCTTGATATTAATTCTTGAGCTTGGAATCTCATTTATGTATTGTTTTCACCCCACTAAAATTGTTTTTCCATTTATTTTTCAAATTTTGGCTAAAATATTATATTAAAATATATTTGTTGCTTAATAAATGGTAAAACCACTGCCAAACCCCTTTATCAAGACGGAATATATATCGCAAAAAAAAAAAAAGAAGCATTTTTCTCAAAAAAACATGGACTAACCATCACTATTTTTAGACCATTTTGCAAAGCGGAAAGAGCTTATTCTTGGAAAGAAAATAATGGAGTTCTTTGTGCATAAATTGTTATAAAATCTATTTGTTTTCACCCTCACCGCACCATGAAGTTTTGAAAATTCAAGTAAAACTTTTTCTTGATATTCCGGAGTTTGGAAACCCATTTCGGTATTGTTTTTGCCCCACTAAAAAAAACTTCCATATATTTTTCAATTTTCGGCTTAAACATTACATTAAAATATATTTGTTGATCAATTGACACACTCTGACCCTGAACACCTAGACACCTGAATCGCGATGTGATGGCTAACACCTGGAAGGTGACGAAGCTATAAAGTGTAGTGATGTGAAAAATGTGAATAAATTAAAACCTAAAAGTTACTAATTTAGAGTGCGCTTGTGAGCGGGATTGAACCCATATCACATAAGTGATGTTAGAGCATAGATAACTTGCAGTAAAAAAAGACTAAAGACATTTATACCGAAATGAGAAGTCTCCTACAAACAGCTTTTATCAACAATCCTCGTCATCACGAAACCTCTGCAACTAAAAATCATGAAGGGGTAAAAAACAAGGGTGAGTGGACCTGAAAATAAAGTTATGTAAAACATTTTCGAAAAGTGTAACCCATCGCTGTAAAACAAGTATATGGTTTCCCAAAAATATTATAATAATAGTATGTAATAGGTACCCTGCCGCAGAAGTGAGTCAAATATGTAGGGTACAACAATAAGGTATCTAAATATTAAATCTCAAACCGCTATTATAAGAAATCAATGCTCATTAACTTATGTAGGCACATAAGTCAACTACAAAGATATTCAAGCAATGGAAAATTGGGTGTAGGTTTTACATTCTAGTACTACATCACGTGAGCTACGCTAGTCACAACATATACGAGTCCAAAACATCACACAAAAGGACAGGTTGGCACCTAACTCTGAATCCAAAGCGAATGTAAACGGTGCATGTGAACTACACATGAAGCTAGTCCTTGGCCCAGGACAATACAAATAACTAAGAGACACCGTGCAAACATGTAATAATGAGTAGATAAAACGCAAGGATGTCATGCCACAAGTTTATGCTCACAAATAATATTAAAAACATAAAGTGTACGAAAAGTCTATTTGCAAAGTTAAACATGGCATGCCACATCATAATATATAAAAGTAGTTTTGGGAAAATCACATATACATATATATATGTATATATATGTATATCTGTATATATATATATATATATATGTGTATGTATGTATGTATGTATGTATGTATGTATGTATGTATGTATGTATGTATGTGTGTGTGTATGTATGTGTGTGTGTGTGTATATATACGTAAAAATGAAAAGATCCACTCATAGATACTTGCGATGTCATTCGAACTAAGAAAGCTGGAGTCTCTGATAGTAATCGCACCTAAGCACAATATTGGCACCCATTAGTAAAACTCAACTTAAACGGTCAAATTTGAGAAGACGGAGTGCATATTTGGAATCAGAGTGTCGAAATACGTTAAGAGAGGTTCCAAGCAAATTTTGTAAAAAGTCAACGATCAACCCTAAAAAGTCAACCGAGACGCCCCAGTGGTCAACTATGTTAAAACTTCAAAATTTTCCTAAATGGATGTCAAAAATGGACTCGTGACGTCGAAATTAGTCTATGAGGGTTGCCGAGAAAATTTCGATAAGGCCAACATAAGGAATATTCCAAAGAATTTGGAATATTTCAGAGAATATTCCCAGAATATTCTGAGCCCATTTCGAAAATTGGTCGGGTTGGAACAATGGCTCAAAGGTTTGGGCCAAGGCCTTTTTTTTTTTTGAAAAGAATATGGGCCGGTTTCGCAGATCCAGGTTAGGGTTACAGGTCATGGGTTTTTAGCCAGTTCATGGGTCGGATTTTAGGCCTTTTTTTCTGTACTGGGTCGTGTTTGACCCTTTTGGGCTCGCAAGTCGCTGGACCCAACGAAGAAGAAAGTCGAATTCTTGGCCAGGAAACTCCAAATGGTCATAACGGGATCATTCTCAACCAAATTCAAAGATTCAAAAGCCAAAATGAAGCTCAAGAGATAAGGAACAAAAATATACCTAAGTGGGACACGAGGTCTGGCCGGAACTAGCCGAAAATGGCCTGCAATTCCGTGGTCCTTCGCCGGATTCTGGAGAAATGCACCAACATCATGCATGCATAAGTTAGCAATGAAATCATAAGTTCAAATTAGTCTAGGAATCACTCTCAGACCAATTCAAACCCAAAACCAACAAGAGCAGCCCCCAGTTGGCTTCGAACTCCACAGTTTTCAACAGAGTTCGCCGCCGGACTAGTTCGACATGCCCAAAAACTTAACAAGGCTTAAGCCCTCAAATTAAACCACAAAAATTGCAACACAACAAGATTTAAAGCTCAATAACATAAAGATAACGACAGAAACATCACCTGGGTTCGAGATTGAGAGCTCAAGCTCTCAACTTCAATGGTAAAACCTCGCACCATGCACCAATGCCACATGCAAGGCCATGGTTGGGTTCCTTGAGCTCTAGTGATTCCAAAAATGATATTTTTGAGCTTGATTTATCGAAGGTTTGAAAAGGAATGAGAAGGAGAGCTCATGGAGCTTTAGAGAGAGTGTGATAGGATAAATTGGAAAAGAGAGAGAGAGAGAGAGAGAGAGAGAGAGAGAGATAGAAAGAAAACTGGCTAAATGAGGGGGAAATGAAAAAGTGATGGGGAAATGGTGTCTGATGGATTGGGTGAGAGGAAATAGGTTTTTAAAAGAGAACTTTAACGAAAAGCTTATGGTATTATTTATTTTAAATCACATTTTACACTAAAAAAATAATCCTAGTACTATTTATTTTACTTTTTATTTTGCCATTATCGTTAAAACTCAAAATTTTCAAGATCTTTTCATTAGTTTTCATTTTCTAAAATCTATTAAAACTATTATTTTATAGGTCCACTTGCACGCACTAATCCAAGTGGTTAGTACATGCAAGCAATACATCTGCACAAAGGCTGATTTCAGTGTCCCAAAAAGGACCCATGCAATGGTGCACGCTGCATAAGGAGAAAATTCCAAGTTTTGAATTTGTCTTAGGTTTTTATTTTTTTATTTTTTTTTACATGGTTTTGAACATAACTTGGTCGTTATAACTCCGAATTGAGTTTCGCTTGAGCTCACGCGTTCGTAAAAATGAGTACTATTCAAAAATAGTAAAATAAGAGTGAAAGGAAAATTAAGATCCATGTGGAAGGCCTAAGTGGCATCTCAAGGGTATTTTGATCATTTCATTACTACTGAGAATAAAATCTAATAAATCTAGGGACGGGATATCACATCAATAATTGGTACACCACTTCGAAATCCCTTAAAAAAAATTATTAATCATGATGGAAAATATTTCGCAAAAATAAAAAAAAATTGCATTTTTCTCAAAAAAGTGGACTAACCATCACGATTTTTAGGCGGTTCTGCAAATTTATATAGAAGTTGTCATAAATATGTTCTCTTTCACCCTCACCACACCATGACGTTTTTAAAATTCAAGTAAAACTTTTTCTTGATATTCTTGAGTTTGGAATCCCATTTCAGTATTGTTTTCGCCCCACTAAAAAAAATAACGATTTTTTTTTTCAGTTTTCAAGTTAAATATTTTTTTAAAATTTTTGTTGCTCAATAAATGGTAAACCACTTCTAAGTGCCTTAAAAATTTTATCTTGATCATAAAGTAAATATTTCGCAAAAATGAAACAAAAATTGTATTTTCATGAAAAAAATGTGGACGAATCATTAATTTTAGGCAGATTTATAAATTTGTACAAAAGTTGTCTTAAATTTTATTTGCTTTCGCCCTCACTTCACCACAACGTTTTGAAAATTCAAGTAAGACTTTTTCATGGTATTCTTGAGTTTGAAATCCCATTTCCGTATTGTTTTCAGCCTACTAATTTTTAATTTTTTTTCTTCAGTTTTCAGCTTAAATATTATATTAAAATATATATTTTTACTACCCAATAAATGGTAAAACAATTTCCAAATTTCTTATAAAGTTTTTCTTGATCATGATGGAAAATATTTTGCATAAATAAAAAATTTGTATTTTTCTCAATAAAAAAAAAACGTGAACTAACCATCACGTTTTGCAAATTCGTACAAAAGTTTTTCATAAAATCTATTTGCTTTCACCGTCATCGTACCTTGACGTTTTTTAAAACTCAAATAAGGTTTTTTTTTGATACTCTGGAATTCCATTTCAATATAGTTTTAGCCCCACTAAAAAAAATCCATTTATTTTTCAGTTTTTGGATTAAATATTATGTTAAAAATATATTTGTTGCTTAATAAACGAAAAAGCAAAAACACTTCCAGATGCCTTAAAAAAAATTCTTAATCGTGACAAAATATTTCGCAAAAATAAAAAAATTGCACTTTCCTCAAAAAGTGTGGACAAACCTTCACAATTTTTAGACAGCGTTGCAAATTTGTACAAATATCATAAAATCTATTTGCTTTCACCCGCACCACACAATGACGTTTTGAAAATTCAATTAAAGTTTTTTCTTGACGTTCTTGAGTTTGAAATCTCATTTTGATATTGTTTTCACCGCACCATCAATTCATTTATTTTCAATTTTTGTTAAATATTATATTACAAATACATTTATTGCTCAATAAATGGTAAAACAACTTTCAAATTCTTATAAAGTTTTTCTTAATCATGATGAAAACTATTTTGCAAAAATAAAAAATATTGCATTTTTCTTAAAAAACATGAGCCAGTGAGTTGGATTAATTGGGGCAATGAGATTTGAAATAAGTGATTCAGGATACTTGGTCCGTCGGCTTCAGACTGAAGCAAATGGGCTTTACCATCAATAAGACAGATGAACCTCAACCAGAAGTTACTCGAGTAATATTCGTGAAAAAATTAATGTTCGAACAAGGAAGAGCTATGCTCCGAGCAGCCATCTTCTCGTCTGCAAAAACATTCCCAAAAGGCTCTGCTTGGGAAATTGATGCAAAAGGAAAGTGAGCAGTCTGTTAAAGAAACATTGAGTGAAATAGAGAAGCCAAAATCAGTAGCATTTTTCTTACCCCCAGGATGGTTATGTAGTGATGCATCAACCGAATGAAACAAAGATGAAGCAGCTTAGTCAACCTCCAGTCAAGTCTTGTTCCTCGTGGACTCCCACTTGTACTGGTTTTTGACATCCACGCGTGGAACTTTTGAATTTCCAACGCGCTAATTCATCCCCTTCAAAACGAGCAAAAGTGCACATTCAGCGTCGTCAAAGAGGCGGAAGACTTCAAACTGCACGGCTGGAACCACCATCACGTGCGATAAAGAAGATTTAAGCAAGGATAGTAAGTCACTTCCACACAAAAATACAGGTGAACCGCAAGGAATGCTACGGACCAACAGCACACATATAGCTAAGTTTCAATTTTAAGACAGACCTGTCTTCGATCACAGCATCAGAACATTTTAGTGCAGTTGAATATTTAAAATTACATAATCAGCAGTCTTACCAATATAGGTTGAAGAGAGAAAAGTCCTCTTTGGATCACAATTAAGAATTGCAAACATAAGTCAAAGTTAAAACACGTCAGTCGACGCATTCAAGTACATTAGTGTAATATAGTGCAGGAAAGGACTATATCAAACGCAGTTGATTAAACACAAGTGCAAATGTTTCTATAAGTGCATGACATTAAGAAATTGAACTTTCAGTACATAACAGGCATTAGATTAACCCTAAAAATTCGTAGGTCCATTTCAAACTTTATAGCAAGTACATTCAGCGATACAGAGTCATATCCTCTAACAGAATGAACCTTACAACTAACTCTAACACCCGAACCCAAGGAGACATAAAACCTACAACCTAATCCCTACTGATATTATTAGGTTGGAATTGGGCAGAAAATTGAGAACACCACCAGCTCATCCTCTCTTTCCCACCAACACGATGAAAACGAAAATACAAAGAAAAAATGAAATATAATGCTAATCTACATAGAGTGCATATATCCAGATGTTTCATGATCAACGACTGAAGGGGTAATGTTTATCTGTTCAGTAACAACTTACATTAACGCGGGACAGATTAGTCACCGTCGCCAATGCTCTTCTCCGGGCACGCAATTCCCATCTCCTCATCCTTCTTTGCATTCAGATCATCCTTTTGTATTCAGCTCACCCTGCACTAACTCAGTCACATTCTTGACTCGACTTCATCCTTCACTTTCTTATCTTCAACCTCATTTTTATTTCCAATTAGTTCTTCTGGGGTAAGCTCACTCTTAAATTCCTCAACCTCTTTGTTACCTACAAACTCATTTCGTGTTTCATCATTCGCTTCATTTACCTTCAAAATCATTTCATCGGGCACATATTCTTCCATCCCTACATCAACATCCCTAACAATTTCATCCTCGACCAATGGGCCAACACTTCTGCTTCCTCCATCTCTCGACACATACTCTACCATCTCAGGATTGCTCTCACCCGTCGGTACCCATATGAGGGGCATCCGACCCTCCATCACTATCATTTTCAGATCCATTTTCCACCACCTCTTCATTGACCTCCCCCATCACATGGTACCTCCTCTCAATGAACTGCATCCTCCTTCTCAAATCCGCCAACTCCCTCTCCATCAAGAAAAGCCTCTCCTTCAAGGTCAGATTCTCTTCCTCTAATTGAGCAATATGAGTATCCTGATCATCCACCCTATTCTCCAAAGCATTGTTATACTCAACCCCGCTGTAGTTCGGGTACACCATCTCGAATCGACTCAAGTCATGGTCCAACCTCCTCTCCACCTCCACATGCTCCTCCACATCGCTCTCACTCGATCCGCCACCACCCTCCTCGTCATCATTTCCAGGTGACCGAAGCCGAATCAATCCTTTCATTGACCCATACCCATCAATACCCCACTCCTCTTTCGCCATATCTCCCAAGACCTCCCTCGAGGGCGAGAACATTGGCGTGGGCAGAACAGCCGGAGTTACGGCACAAGGTGAAACCAGCGAGGCTATGCCGCCGGCCTTCTTCGCTCTAATAATAAACGACGTCGTGTTCCTTGGGGCGTAAGGCGCAAACCTATTGTTAAACTTCTTTTTCGGGTAAAATTTCCGGGCTTTCATTCGATTCTGAGACTGTAACTCGTGAAGCGTCGGCGGTATGTACCCTCCTCCTCCGCTGGTCTGACCACTCAGCGACAAACTGGGGACACTCTTGTCCATCCTCCTCTTATCTCCACCCTTCTTGCCTTTCCAATTGTTACGCCCAGGATTAGACGGCGGCGGCTTTTGGGCAGCGAATTGAGGCTGCGGCTGTGGCCAAGCCTTGTAGTTCCGATTCATCATCATCGGCTGAGACTGACTCTTCATCATCATCAACTGAGATTGCTGCTGCTGTTGCTGCTGAACCGCCATGGCCTGCGACGACGGTGCCATCATCTGCGGCTGCGGCTGACTCATCATCTGTGGCAGCGGCTGGTTCATCACTTGAGCTTGGGTCAAACTCATCATCGGTGGCGCTTGATTCATCAGCTTTGACTGATCGTTCATCGTTTCCCCCAATTTCGAAGGAAACTCCACAAACCCTAGAATCCCAAATCTCAAAATTCAAAAAAACTCGTCCGTTATTCGATGCCGATCAATCCAGACCGTCAATCAGATCGCTAAAAAAAACCCCCAATTCCGATATCAAAACCCTAGAAATCCGACTGATTCCAATCCAACTTCTCGATCTTAAACCTCCCACAGAGAGATGACTGCAAATTTTCCTTAAAAAATTAAAATTCAGAATATAAAGGAAAATTCGAAGAATTTGATTTTCTTTTTTGATTATGATTTGATTTCTGTTTCTCTCTCTAGAAATCGTCAGAGCCAATCGATGGGATCGAAGCCGTTTTAAAGAGGCCAAACAGTCTGCGTGGGTTTGTATTTATAGGAGGAGACTGCGCCAGTAGGCCGTGTGATCAGATTTTAAGAAATGGAGGGCCCAGATCGATTGACACGTGTTGGCCAAGCATTGTTCGCAGATCTGGCAGGCATGGGAGTACGTTATTAGAAAAGATTTTTTCAATATGTCAAGAACACAGATTGATATATTAAGTGTTATAATATAAGTGGTTAAAAAAAATTTCTTTCAAATATCTAAACACTTATATTAAAACACTTACTGGACCAGACCGTGTCAATAATAACTCTTGCATTAACTATTAAATCGAAACACGAAGACCAAATTTACAACTTAAACATGGAATTAAGGATTGCATTACTCGCTCAAAGTCTTGAAAGTTGAAATTTAGGCAAATTTTCATATCCTCATAATCATATGGTCTATCGACATTCAATCTCACTGTCCACGTTATCTAATAATCTTAGGAATCCACCAATCCGAACCATTAAAATTTAATCTAACGGCTAAAGTTATTATAACTTTTAAAGTGAACGTCTGTTTGTAACCGTTAAATCAAATTTCAAAAGTTCAGATTGATTGATCCCTAGAATTAAGAGAAATGAATCCGAAGATGATTCCTTTCGTAAAGGAGAAACCTTTGCTTGGTGACGAGGTTGTGTGTAAACTTGGGATTCCAAGGTGCTTGTTTGCATGAGAATATTTTTTGACATGTGTGGCTTCGATTGAGTCCTTGTGACTGTTTTTTTATCACAAGCCCTTGTCAACGACTCATCTCTCTCCACCTGTCTTTCCTCTCTCGCCCCTAACGCCATCAACATCCTTTTTGTTATGGAAGGAAAACGGCCAAGAAATTCAGCTTTTGCGTCACGACATGTTTAGCGAAATTACTCCTAGTTTGTCAATCTGTATACTTTTTCGACCGATTAAATGGCACTAATCATTCTTGTAGTTGAGATCAAAAAATTTTCAATGTACTAGAAATACGATCCGATACATGAAAGGTAGTATTATAGTTAGTTGAATATAATTTTTTTTCAAGTTTCCGACCAAATTATGTCACTTACTGTATTAAATTGTGATCCTGGCATTAAATATATATATATATATATATATATATATATCATTTGGATCATAGCTCAATGCCAGTTTTGTGGTGAATAAATTTTTAATAATACCCTCGTGATTAAACTTGCTATCAATCTCAATTCATACTGAAATTTGTTTGTTAAATTTCACGTGTGCGCTTCATATGAAAGGGATGAAAACATCATTTTAAGTATGGTTTACATAATTGTTTGGGCCCAAAATAATATTTTGGGCTAAGCTTAGAATCATTCTCGGCTCAATAACTTTCATCTAGAATCTTGTTATGGGCTGTCCAGTCAAGGTCGGTCGAATCCTATTGCGAGGAGGATTGGTTTAGATAAGGATGAGGTAGTTAAACCCTAGTGCAACAAGGAGTCTTAAAGCTGAAGATGCTTAGAGTTAGGGGATGAATCTAGGTTCGTGAAAGAGCTTGGTTCAAAGTCCTATAGGAGTTAGGATATGCCAAAACCTGATCAATTTGAATGAGTTCTAATCCGAGTACATCTCTAGTTCGGCCATGAAGGGGGTTCGCTGCTAGAAATAGAGAAAGGAGTGCATCATTAAAGGCCCCTTCAAATCAACACACAAATTGCCTTACACAAAGCTTTTCAACAACCTTGAGATTTTTACCTCTCCCCTTTCTTCCCGCCAACACATCTTCAGTTTGGATAAACAGCACTGTGAAAGTAATTGGTGACAGTTTGGATAGATAGCACTAGAGTCGTATAATCAGCCGACCAAGAAGCACCGTCAGTTTGAATAGACAACACTACTTCGAGGCCAACTGGTTATTTATTCAAGTTTTGGTCAACAAGGATTTCCAAGTCCTTGTTGGTAGAGATCATCTCATCAGCCTTCTCGGCAAAGTGAGGTGTTACCAGGTTACCGAGCTTGGCACATTGAAAGCCGAGTTTTGTTTTATGATTGGATATTTGCAAGTACATTTTTGAGTTCGACACTTTGACAGCCGAACCACTTTTACATTCAAGACATTTATCTCTTTCAAGTATTTGTGTCTGTATAATCTGCTGCCAATTTGGCATACTTATACTCTCACAAAAATAATTACCAAGACCAAACCCTATGCCAACGATTTGTGAACTTCGAAGAAACTAGTAACCTTGTCTTCAAACTCTAGAACCCGAAGGCCAAGACATGTTCCTTCCTCTGCCACAGTCGCGAGATCAAGAAGTTAACAACGCGCTCAACACCACATCAACATATTTTACTCCCCGACCGAACTCGACCGACGAGTTGGCACACCATGCACGCAACCAAAAGACGTAATTAATTTATTAGTTACTCGGCATGCGCGCTACATATGCTTGGTAGCTTTTAGGATCAACAGTAACACACAAGTTTCACAGCCTTGATAATGACCTTTTCACCCTTGCATATGGCGGACACAGGTGCAAGAATTGGCAAACATGGTCTGCGTAAATGAGATTTCGAGTTCATTCATGTAATACCCGAACCCGAATATTTAAAATAAAAAAAAAATAAAAACAGAAATATAAATAAAAAAAATAAAAAAAACGAAGATTCCAAGAAAGCGTTCACGCAATGCTTCAAGGCACAAAATCCCGAAAATGATTAATCGATCGGCTGCTAAAAACTGGATATAGAATCGATATACGCTCCCCATACACCATCAATGATATACATAACCACATACGTCTTCTACTGCATATGGTCTTCCGTCTGCTTGATCACACCCCGCATAATGCATCTTAATAAGATCTGACAACTGACGAGGTTGCAGGTCAGTCAGGTGGAACTAACAAAAACGCAACCCAAACACACTAATAATTACAACACATATGAAGGAGATATTGTTTAGCTAAGTCCGCCGACGGTAGCGAGGCGATCGAAAAATGAGCTCGGATGTTGCTCTTGTTACTAGTAAGGTTACTCCTTGTTCCGGGATGAGCGATCCTTCCGTTGCCCGCCAAGAATACGAGAAATCTGCAGACCTCTGCTGAATGCTTGGTTGAAGAGCATACGAGTCTGGAATTCGGAAACAAAAGGAAACCAGGCCAAGAATGCAACCGGGGTGAATAGAAGGAGACCCATAACAATCTCAAAGCCGCGAGCAAGAGTCCGAACTGATGGCCATAAACCAGCCCTGTGCACAACAGGCTTGCAAGCTTGTGCAATCTGACAAGAGACAGGGACCACAAAATCGCGTTAAGAAATTCAAGGACAAAGAAATGCACGAGCATCGTTGCTACAGGGCTGGATGTGTGATACTGAATTAAATTAAAGCAAGACGGGAGCATTCACTCACCAGAAGCATTCCCCAACCAGTTGGCATGAAAGCAAGAATGCAGACGATGATATCCTGCAGGGTCATGTGAGGCAACACAATCAAAGTGACCAAAATGGACACGAAAGTTATGAATATTAGTCCCTTGATCAGCCGGAACACAAGTTGGAAATCTGCGCTGAACTTTCGCCTCCCAACAGACACAGTCTGGAGAGAAACATAAACAATTAAGTTCCACAAAGGAAAAACATACAAACAATATTAATGGAATACAATTTTGTCAGTCAACCTTACATTGTGGCCTTTATGTAAATATCGATAATTATGCAAACTTGACACTCACCTTCATAACAAACAAAATAAGGACAATCACCAGCCACGAAATGCCATAAACCTGTTACCAAGTGAATTTAATATAACAATAAGTTCACAATTGGCACATCGATAGAAGAAAAGAAAAGGAGAATTTAGAGAGTGACCAGGTTAATTATTTACCATAACACTCTTGGTATGCTTTGCGATGTTCAGGTGATATACGAGCCCATACTGATAGATAAAGAACCGTAAGGATAACAGTATCTCAGCTGCAATACCACGTTTTCCGGAATATCGGAGATGCTCTTGTTCCTCCTCCCACCATGATTCCCAGCTTTTTTCAGGTGGAACACCTATACCCCCACGGTTGCTTATCCACTTATTCCAATCCGTCCAATCATCAACAATCTTTTGCCACTCAAACCCAGATGGATTGAACAGAAAGGGAGCAAAGAGCCAGGTAAACACCATAAACCACATAGATGCAGTGATCAAAATGTACGCAACAGCACTTCTATAAGTATGACCAAAGATCTGGTACACGACAAGTAAAATTAAGAGCTCAATGCCCTTAACAAAGTGGCTGCGGGAGTAAAGCCTATAGTTGTCAGCAAATTTGGCATGGAAAACCACAAACCCACGGCCTGTAGATCTATATTTCGCACCACCATGAAGTAATGTCCTTCCATAATAGTGGGTCTTCGTTCCAAGTGAAAATGTGAAAAATACCGGGGCCAATTGCAATTGCATCAATATGAATTCACTTAGTGCAGTTCGGAAACCCTTCTCCAAACCAATTTCCATCAACATAGGCAACGCCATCAAAAATCCTATTTGAACAAATGATTGAGACGCAAGAGCTACTTGAAGAGGCTTGTTGTCTCGAATTGCTCGTTGAGTGCTCAAACCCTCTTCAAGTCCACTAAGAACCAGATAAAGGCGTCCATAAAGGAAGACGTACACAGTCAGCACAGTTATCTGCCAGAAAAACATACCTCCGTGTTCAGAACTTTTGACTAGATACCTAATATTATTCTTAATTCTTAAAGACCAAAGTACTTAACATTTGATACCAAAACTAAAGATCAACGTACCAGAGTACTGTAGTAGAAACCAATTGTGGTGAAATAGCAAGACATCATTCGGAAAAAGTCAAAACGGTGTCCAAGTCGGTATATATCTCGACTGAGTGTCTGCTCCCCATTTCCATTAGCTATTTTCGCTTCAAACATAGAGATCTGGTTAAGGCCCACATCTCTTCCCTTCCCAACTTGTATGTACTCGTGATGAGTTACATTGCCTTCACGGAGTGTGGAATTAAAGCCTGAACCCCATACCATAATTAGAATATAATTGCCCACTGATAAATTGTGATAACGGATAATGTTCACTCAAATGACTTCAACTTACCAGCAAATATGTCTTCACTCAAATTGATAACCTTGGATGCTTTACTGACACCCCCTCTGGTAAGGTGAAAGAGCCTATCAAACACATCCGGATGACCATAATGGAATCGAACCCTGGATGAGCAGAAATATTAAAACAGAAAAACTTCGGAATGGTAAAATCATAAAATTAGCAAACTGAAAAAAAAAAAAAAAAAAAAAAAAAAAAAGATGAAAAGGTTAAGGGAATTAAACAAATGCAAGTACACACCCATGCATACGATACTAACCCAGTACACAATATTTGTCTGCCAGGATTTTTCGTTTCAAGTTTTTCTTTTCCCAAAATTTAAAGTGGACATTATGAGGTAATATAACTTACTTGAGAGGATTGGCCAACAGTCTCTGACCAATAGTGACAAAACTGTTTTCCTGATTTGACATGAACCAAGCTAGAGAAGAAACACTGGATCAGATCAGGAAAGAATGTTAGTGATACCTAGACATTGTCAGTTTGTTATACAGCAATACGCCCTTAGTAACAACACAACACCTACCTTCCAGTAAATATATGCTCCCTAAGTCCAAGAATTGTAGGATGCCTCACCCCATCATGCTTCTCGAGAAATTCTTGCAGCAAATTCCTCATCTTCAAGGCTTCTTCCATGTAGTTATCCTACAAGATGGGTCAGATTTATTAACATTGTACATTGGGATACAGGCACCTTGCAAAAGTAATGAACTAATATGTTATCCGCCAACATTTTACTTTTTGTAATTCAAAAACTTATTAGTCCAGTCAATCATCATTGTCTAAGCTCGCTCCCAGGAAAGTCAAATCCTGGATCAATCAGTCTTTTGATAACAACCACCATACCTGGTTCATATCCATTGTTTGCAAGCCTTCTCCACGTGTGAAAATAATGGCATGATTTTGATTCTCTGGTTTTCCTTCACCCAAAATAGCAGGTCCTGGAAGCTTTATGCGATAAATTACCTGCGCATAGATAACAATACAATTTAGCAAAGGATATTAAGATTTCAAAGATGACAAAACCTAAAAAGCAAATAATATACAATTATATGTGACATGGCCTGCTCGAGGATAACAGTTCAAAAATTCAAAATACCTGTGCAGACAAGGTTAAAACAGTGGACTAAGCTACAAACCTTAGTCCTTATTTACCTTAAACGACAATGAGCAATTCCCCTAAAAAATAATACATCTTTCCAATGTTCGAAATATGTGAGAACAAAAATGAATTAATCTACCGTTGAGACAGATATATAATCCTATTCTGTTTCTGACATAAATAAAACTTATTTGCTTCACAGACTATCTATGTCACGAACATATACTGAAATTAGGATTCTAAGCCAGCTGGTGTCCTAACTTTCTTAAGCAGTCCCCTAAATTAGGTTATTTTATTACTTTTTAGTTTTAGGTTTGTACCATAATTATAGTTGTGCTTTATTAAAACCCTTTCAGATATAATAAATACATTTCATTATCTCCCATATACCAAACCACTGCCTATCTGTCACTCATTCATCAACAGGCATGCAGTCAGAGCCCTTGCCACCCTCCACTCCTTGGGACATGTCAAGTTTCAGAAGTAGGTTTTCAGTCATAACTTGACAGCCAATAGGCCCAAGACAGATGTCCTTCTCGGCTTCTCCTCAGTCAGACTCCAGTATTTTTGCTTCTCAACAATGAAAACTTTCAGTTCTTTACCTTTATAGGAAACTCAACACCACATAGGTTCTAATGTCGATATGGCCATTGAGGATCAAACATTCAACGAAACATGCCTTACAATACAATACAATGCCATTCAGACTAAAATTCATAAGTGTAGATTATAAAGCTTACTTGGTCCAGATTTTGTACGGGCTCTGAAGAATCAATTGACTTTGGTAGAGCAGCCTTTACTAGAGTAGAGTAATAAACTTTTTGGTTCATCTTCTTGGAACTATCTTTGCTAGGCTCCTCAACCTCATCAATATATGCCACACGTAGTGATGGATATCTGTTGCAAAAAAATACGACCACCAATTAAAAGTTATGACAATCAGAAAATACCACCAGAATAATACTATCAGAAACATACGTTGTCATAAGCCTCAGAATGTCTTGAGCACGAGGATCACCAGATCGCTTGTGTATCCCATATAGTTGGCATGATACCACATATGTAAATTTCAAATCAGCTACTGCTTGACATTGTGCCCACAGTGACCTGCCTTCCTTTGATTGATCCTCAGAATTCAATTCTATGGCCTTATAGCCTTCCATTAAATCTGGAAGGTGATATTAAGCCAAGTTTACAGCAAACAATACTTTTATTAACTTTCATTATATCTCAATTCAAAAGAAGTGTAAAACCCAATGTCATGCAAAATAGGAAATTTATATAAAATAAAGGGTATTGTTATTAGCACTCCAAAAATCTCATTTGGCACTCCAAACTTTCTATAATTAGAAAGAAAAATACACTTGTGAGGAGTGTAGAATGAGATTTTTGGAGTGCTAATAACAGTTCCCAAAATAAAAAGATATAAAAATTAGGTACCATCATCTTGGGCCATATCGAGAAAAGACTGAAGCTCCAAAGCTTTCCGGTAGTACATCAATCCCCTTACTACCACCAGTTACGAAATTCAGTAAATACCAGAGTAGAATAATGTCCATAAAAAATATCTTGCCATCATTATGCTTTAAAAACACATGTCTAAAATATCAGCACATAGTTGGAGAGATACCAGTACGAGTCAGAGTTTGCCCTCTATATGATGCCCAAAGGCGAAGTTCTTCTTCCAATTCATCTGATCCTTTAAGCTCCTCTTCACTGGTGCAATTGACACGCTGAAGAAAATTGTTCCACTCATCTGTTTGCCAACAGAGAATCAGTACAGAATTAAGTACTACAGGAAATACAATACATTAGCTCAAATCTCAGAGAGTACAAACAATAAACCTGGGTAAATTTTTTGCAAGTAGAAGAGAATTGAAACCCCATCTTCATTTGGCACTTCCAAATCACGCAATGAAAACAGAACCTCCTCGGTGTAGTAAGGAGTTAAAACACTACAAGAAAAATTATTACTTTAGAAGCAAGTCCAACAAAAGAGAATAACAATCATATTTGCAAAGTTTCAGCAAGTTTTTTCATTTTAATCATATGGCACACTAACACTTGAGAATATACCAAGTCCTGCACATCATCTAATTTGCAAAGTTTCAGCAAGTTTTTTCATTTTACGGAAACCTTTCCTATAAAACTTCTGACCAACCATGTATCGACCTCAGTGCTCGGCTTGCAGAGATGCCTTTACCATAGTCTTTAAGATTTTTAAATTCTAAAGACTCAATGTTATGGTCACTGTAACCCTCTCCTCTCCTCCCCTCCCCTCCCCTCCCCTCCCTCCCTCATTTTTACAAGGTCCTAAAAGTACAAACCGGATTACACTGAAAAACACATCATTGTAAATTTCACCAAAAAAATGACTAATTCATAAATGATTTTTTTTTTCAATAAATAAAAGATAAACGAAGGCAAAGATAACGTACGAGAAAGAGAGCATATTTCGAACTTTTGGTGCTGGAGGCATGTCCATAAACAATGAATTTGAGAAGAATGAAATCCGCCTTCTAGCTTCTAAGTTGGACGGTACATCCATGGCAGACTCTTTTGTCGTAAGCAAAAGATAAAGACGCTTAATCTGCCAAAAAAAGGTAATTATTGAGGATTACAGGATTTACTGAAGCTTCAAATTTGCAATCATCTCTCTACCAATGGCACACCTTTTCCCTCCACGCCTCTGTTACTTGTTGAATAGGAAATCTGATAGCCCCAGAAGACGCAAACAACTGATACTGTTGAGGTTGATCAAGGGGCATCATCCCTTCATGGCCAGACGCGCCATGGATTGAATCTACCAAACTACACAAAAAAATGACAATGTAAGTAACGCTTGAATATGTAAATAAAAAATAGTATGCAATCACATCACAATGTGATACCTGGATATATGGTCCTCCATCATTATGTCTCTAGTCACTACCTCCAGCATGTCCTGGAACAGAATCACAACTTGATCCCTTTCATCCTTATTATTGTCCAGCTGCAAAACTCAAGCAAACTTGGTGAAGACCATTCATCAAACTGGCTGAGAAAATTATAAGCTAAACCAAATCTAAAATCTTACCAGATGTTTGATGAGCTTAACGAATTGATCATAGAGGCTAGGAAGAGCACTCATCTTGTATTCAACATCAGGTCACCCGCCTCTATGTGCTTGTCAACCTCAGAAAATATATAATCTATAACCCTGAAATCCAATTAATTTGGCTTAGCAAGTGGTATGCAAAAAGTTAATTCTTACTAGTTGAAAATTGTGCACAAATCTTAGATGAAGTTTTATTTTCTCCAATGTTATAAGGCACTGCTTATTATAATAAAAAAACCTACTCTTTCTCACGTTCTCCCTGAACCAGAAGCTTGATTATGTTCCTAAATGAAGCATAACATTCCAAAACAGCACAAGACATGTAATTGTCAGCCTCAATCCTCTTTTTCAACTCTTTATCCTTGCCATTGCTGTCCTTGGCCATGTCTAATGCTATCGGGATCTGATGGGCACACACACAATCAATATGTGCATATAGGGATTCGAAACTTTCCTAAGAAGTACGCTAAAACTAACCTTGCTGGCAAGTAAAAATGGAGGCCACTGAGTAAGGCGGCCTAAATCACGATCAGCCCAATAAGGAACAAGCAAAAGGTTCATCTCCCTGAGAATTAAGAAACCTTAGCACACAACCAAAAGAAAGAACACTACAGAAAGAACCTGGAAAAGATTCAGCACCATAACATTGAACTACTACAAGAAATCTAATATAAAAATATCCATTGCCAGAAAACCTATTGTTTATAAGATCCTCCTCTCGGAAACTGCTTATTATCTTGTTCCATAATTGAGCAAATCTTGCTGCCTCTTTCTCTTTGTTGACTTCAACCTGGAAGAATTGAAGCATTAGTAAATTAATACAACCCCATGAAAAGGAAAATAACAGTAACAAATTTTACATAAAGAAAACAAAGTTAACCTGAGCAAAGTTGCGAGACAAAGTAGCCTTCAGTCCTTTCTTCCTTGGTTGACTCTTTTCGGCCGGAATCAAACGGGCATTAAAAGCACCAGGAAGTGATTGAAAACGAGATCTCAGCATTCCTAATGTTCGAATCTGCAACCAATTTAAGAATAAGCACTAAAATCTTAAACACAATCTTTTATACAAATCTAAAAGAATGGAGAAGAATTAGTTCAAAATCATAAAGAATAATGTTAAATGCAGCACCGAATTATCATGTTTAAGCCCCTGGAAAGCATATAAATAAGGAGATATAGGTATAGAAAAGAAAGAGCTACATATTATACATACATCCCATTTAAATGTGAAAGGTGAAATTTAAATTCTACTCTCTCCAGAACTTCATGAAGTCTTACATGAAGTTATTTCAGTTTGTATAGACAAACCATCAGAACTGCAAATCACGTATAATTTGTAACTTCAAATCATGTAAGACTTCAGAACTTCATGCAGTTTGTATAGACAAACCAAAAACCTCAACAACTCTTGCAGCAGAAAAAAAAAAAAGGAAGTTTGATCAATAATAAACACACGAAGCTTAAAAAGAAGCTAATTTGAAAAGTAGAATTAAAGAGCTATTTTGATCAATAATCCACTAACCTCTCCAAGACGACGGAATGCACCATAAATTCCTCCAAATATTGTGGAGAAAATGGCATACCAAATCTGGGTATCCATAAAATACACCTGAAAGGATTTGAGCATAAGAATACAATATACTGGAGCGGATAACAAGAAAACAACAGCTATGAAATCAATATAAACCATACAAGGATAATTGGAGCCCAGAGTGCAATCACAACACCGATATTGTTCTTTGCTGCAAGGAAAATAAATACATGATAAACAACATGTTGAGGAACGAGATAACATTAAACTGCAAAGAAGCCATTTGATACATTACCACGGGGAAAAAACTCGTGCCACTGAAAATTAGTTACACGTACACTCATGATGGCTTTTGTTGGACCAACTAAAGGTTTTATCTGGAAAGGAAAAGAATCATCAGAAACAAACAAATGGACCAAACAGAAGTAGAAACTACAGTTTTCCCATTTATTGATGTATACCCTATGGAAAGCATTAGGCTATGTTTTATACCCCACCCAGTTTTCCCATTCCACCCTTTATTGTTTTGTAGATTCATGTACTAACACATAACCCGTAAGAGAAAAAAGAGAAGTCCAATGTGGTTAAAGGAGACACCTCTATATAGTAACTGAATGCCAGCTTGGTAATTATGAGAAGTACCCAAAACATTGTGTACCTGAATAGTTTCAATAGATAGAAACACAGGTTATACATAGAAGACAATGATAACAGATAAGAAGCAATTGCATGTATCTTCTTTTTTCTCTTTTGATTTCCCATCCCATTTATCTTCGGATCAACGGATTCTTACTTGAAAAGGGAAAATGTGCTCTCATGCATTCCCCTCCCGACATAAAGTCGAGGCTGCAAATAATAATGAATTCAGGCTATTCAGCAAATGTTAGGTGATAAAAAAATGCAAAATACATATAAAAATATCAGAACCTGTTCCACTTACCTGTGACCACCACATCATAAACGTCACAATCTTATAATTTGATCTCTCAAGGAATCTACGAATAAATGGGAACAGAAACAGCACCGCAGCCAGCATGTTTGGTGACAAGTAGATAACAACAGCCAAGATAAACAAAGAAGGTTGATGTCCACCATTGCCAAACCAACTTTTGATAGTTTGAGCAAACGCAGGAGGGTTTTTCCAACTATATGCATAAGTAATCGGTAGAATTACCACCCACCCAGCAGCTGTGATGACCTTCAAAATGTATCTCAACTTAACATGGAATGACATACTCCGCCTACCCTTCCAGCTAAGAATTACATCTAGAAACGCTGCACAAGTCAAGGAAAATAATCAATCAAAATTCAACAACTTCAGCTTGGTATAATGAACAGTGAATACACGATAGCAACAATTGGTACATTCAACTTGGTCCAATGCTGAGTGGCACTCCATTCTGCCAAACCTGGCTATGATAACCAACCAATATTGACTGGTATCACATTGAAACAAAATTGTCTTTGTTGTCTAGTTTAGTGATTATAGCTTAATGATCTAGTAGCCTAGGTTAGTATCTTAATATATTTTGAAAGATTACAGAAAAATCAGAATAGGGTATCACAGTACATCTTTATGGCCGTTTTCATTGGCCAGATGAATGACACTATTGCACACATTACTTTTGTGCATACCATGTAATCCAAGACTTCTAAAAACAAGGTCAACAAACTATCAAATTCTAATTCAACATAGTAATATCACACTTAGGTATTACATAAAAGGGAAGCAGTAGCACACAAAGGCCTAGAAAACAGAGAGAACAATAATGAACTGCAGCCACCAACACCTAATAACAAATTTAATTACCTTGCCCAAGTTTCAATACAGCAGCAGTTATGAAGACAGACAATGCTTTCGTGAATACATCACCATTAAATAATGCAGTAGGTTGCCCCGAGCCGTTCCAAGCAACAATTATCATAACCTTATAAAAATAAAGGTAAATTTCAGCAGTGTCATAGAATCAAGTACAGCTCACAGAAGATTAAATGGAAGGATAGACAGAACCTGTAAACATAGAATAAAGAAGCTCCACATGCGGTCAAAGCTTCTAAAAATATGCCAAAATGATCGTATCTCAACGAAATTAACTTTCCCCACCCATCGATCTCCACTAGCTGGCTTTTTATCCTGAATATTATATCAAGCAAAAGTTATGCATCAGGTGAGAAAAGCCTCTCTCAAATTGAACAGTAGTCACGGTACTAAGTAGCACCAGCAGAACAAAAATATGATTTTTTTCAAATATGATCATCAGTCTTATCAAGAACAGTGTCCAACAAATTTCCAAATAAAGTGTATTGAAAAAAATCTTATCAATCACAAACTCAACACAATCTCAGCCATGATCTCAACTGTTATGGTCAGCTACGTGGATGCTCATCTATCACCAACAGGCAACAGAGACAAGTTTAAAAACTCACCTAACACTTAACTTTACTAGTACTATTAGTTGCTGATTTTTATTTTCTCCTTCCTATGTCTTAGAAGGCAGTTCCATTCAATCGGAACTAACTTCAATTTAAACTTGCACAAAAGAAAGTAATTCCAAAAATACAGATTCTCATTATGAAAGGGACAGTAACAAGAAAGAGTAAAATAAGCATGACTGACCTCGTTAATTTTATCAAAATGACGCTGATCAATAGGCATGCAAAAGAAATCAGCACCTGCACGCATTGGCCAGCCTAACCGGAAACAATCCACTGACCTACAGTCTCACAAAGAACATAAGAACTAGAGATATACAAATGAATGGGAAGGGGAGGCCAAGGGGGAGAGAGACAGATAGAGAGAAATTATATGTTTGTACCAAAAGTACTCATTTAAATCATCATAATTTCTCCACTGGGAATGCTTTGATTTCCCTCGTTTACTCCTTTCAGCCTCCTTTCAAGAGCAAAATCACAGAAACATGATGAGATATAAGCAATATGCAACAATAAAAATTCATCTTTTATTTTAGAAAGGCACCCTAAAACATGATGCTCTCCCCACCTGCCCAGCAGGATTTAAGAAAGGCAAGATGCAAGCCATTCTTTAGGAGTGAGGTACCACTCTTAAATTTATTGAAATTATAAAAAAAAAAAAAATCACGTAAAATACATACTTTTGCAATCACTTCATAAATTGGAGTCACAACTTTTCTCAAGAAAGCCTCTTCTTCGCCACCATAGGCTGGCTTCACATTCTCTCCCGTCATTGGACTGACATTCCCAGCGAGCATACCATACAATTCAAATGCCATCTACAGAAACAAATGAAACAAATGAAACAATTAAACACCCATGCATGTGCATTGGAGAGAAAACTTCTATGAGACTATGAGAGCATATCCACAAAAAAAAAAAAAAAAAAAAAAAAAAAAAAAAATGTAGCATGCTATTACAATTTGAATGCTATCAATCTTCTTTTTTTTTTTTTTTTTGTTTTTTTTTTTTTTGTTTTGATATAGAGACAATTTTCACATAAAAATATTAACAAACATAAAATCCTACAAATACGTCAGAATCAAGAAGGCAAACTCCCATTCCAATTTCCATTTGAATGACCCCGAAAGAGAAACGTTGAGAAAGAAAATTGTAATTTTAATATTGGTAATGAAAAAATGCCATAGAATTGTCGCACTTGTAACAAACAACAGGCTACATCTAAGCATACATGGTGATAGATATAACAAAGGCACTCTGGCATGAATCTCAAATTTGCAGCTTCCCCCCATATCAGAAGATATAGACCCATGTATAGTAGTTTGCGCTGTTGCACCTCTTGCTGTATTGTTGGTAACCTGAAAAAAAGAACCAAAATAGCATCGAATTAAATAGAGTGACAATTAATGGGGGAAAAAACTGATATAAGCAGAATATACGCTCCCATTCACATTACACAGGCACGAAATTTCCTAATTTCAAAATGACATTCCATTTCTGTGTCAATCACCGCACATAAAAATAGAGCAGTACCATTTATTTGTGACTTGTATCAGTTGTGCCCCCTTGAACACACACACACACCCAAGAGCAACATGCCCACCCAACTATACTATGGAATATAACCAGCATTATTTGAATTCCAGGTTACATGCTCAGTAAGATAAGTATGCAACTATTATCAGTCAATTGACATTGGTATAAGACATCTCACCAAAGGCTACTTTTCCGGCCCAAATACTTGCACCATTTTTTGTAGTTCTTGAAAAGCTTCTTCATCACTTCTGTCAATGCACGATCATCCAACTAACCAAAAAAAGTACAGAATTATGACACAATCAAGGATGAAAAGATCTCTGCTAATTCCAAGAAAGCACAAATATTAAGGTTTTACCTGCAGCACTTTTCAGAAAAAGACAGAGGATACATTAATATATTCTAATTTCACAAATTGGTTATCTTATATGTCAAACAAATTCTGTTTCAATCAAACTATGAACTGTCTCTCTGTGAGGCTTAGTAACACTAAAAATTAATGAAATGTTCTCATTCCCCGCCCTATTCAGAAGATAAAAGATACTAAACATTTCCCACCATAACTTAGTTATGACATAGCTTAAGATAAAAGTTCCATAAAGCAAAGATTAGAGGTGCTCAATTTATTTTGTACTGTTTCAGGGTTGAAAATCAACAAAGCAAAGTGTTCTTTGGCTGGAATAAACTCAGATTGTGAGAAATTAAAAAGGTTGGCAGATTCTTGGGGTTGTGAGGTGGGTGGTTGGCCAATAAAGTATTTGGGTCTCCCTCTTGGGGGTAGACCAAGAGCACTTAGTTTTTGGGATCCAGTGGTAGAAATAATGGAGAAAAGACTTCAAAATTGGAAGAAGGCATTCTTATCCAGAGGAGGCAGATTAACCTTGATTCAATCTGTTTTGGGAAGTTTGCCAATCTACTATATGTCCTTGTTCAAAATTCCTAGCGGGGTGATTGGACGCCTAGAAAAACTAATGAAAGGATTTCTTTGGGAGGGGGTGGAGGAAGGAAAGAAAAACCACCTGGTGAAGTGGGAGATAGTTATAAAAAGTAAGGAGGAAGGGGGTTTAGGAGTAGGGAATTTGAGGAATCAGAATGAAGCGTTATTGGCAAAGTGGTTGTGGAGATTCCCAAAGGAACCAAATTCTCTCTGGCACAAGGTGATAAGAAGCAAGTATGGGATGCAGGATAATGGGTGGAATGCAAATCCTCCATTGCGGGGTTCAAGTCGAAGCCCCTGGAAAGATATTTCGTGTGGTCTCCAATCATTTCTACAATGTTGCAAGTTTGAGGTGGGCAATGGGGAGAGGGTGAGGTGTTGGGAGGATAGTTGGTTGGAAGGGGGACCACTGAAAGATCAATTTCCTAGATTATTCTTGCTATCGAGAATGCACAACCAGAACATCGCAAGTTTTGTGGATCTTTCTATCAATTCTTTGAGCTGGAATTTCGATTTTAGGAGAAATTTGAACGAGGAGGAGATAGAAGAGGCGGCTAGATTATTACAGAAAGTGGAAAATGCTCGATTGTCCCAATCAAGAGCGGATGACAGAAGGTGGAAACTGGAATTATCAGGATTGTTCACTTGCAAATCCTATCGCTCTTTCTTGAGCAACAATGGGATTGTGCAACACTTTCCACCCTCTTCTCAGATTTGGAAATCAAAAGTTCCGCCGAAGGTCAAAGTTCTTGTGTGGCTAGTGGCTATTGGGAGGCTCAACACTTGTGATCAAATTCAAAGGAGAAGTCCTTTTATTTGCATCTCTCCCCATTGGTGCAGTTTGTGTAAAGCAAAGGAGGAAAGTGTTAACCACATTTTTCTTCATTGTTCTTACACGATTCAACTGTGGTGGAAATTGTTTCAGGAGGTTAGAGTAAGTTGGGTCATCCCAAAGGGTTGTTTCGAGCTTCTAAGTACTAATTTTGAGGCTCTAGGAATTGGGAGGAAAGCTAAAGCTTTGTGGGGTTGTCTGGTGTCGGCAGTTTTTTGGAACGTTTGGTTGGAGCGTAACAAAAGAATTTTTGAGGATTATACTGGTGTGGGGGTAGCAGATATATGGGGAAGAATAAAATATTGGGCAGCTTTCTGGGCTTCAGTTTCAAATGAATTTAAGAATTACTCTCTTTCTCACATACTGTGGGATATGTTAGCAGTCGTAAAATGATTTTGGTTGAGGTTGTCCTACTTGTAATCTGATCCTCTGGAGGGTTTTTCTTGTTCTGTTCTTGGTGGATTTCTTATCCACTTCTGTGTATTATACTTTTCTTTTCTAATAAACTGTTATAGTTTCTTCTCAAAAAAAAAAGATAAAATGGTTCATAAAGCTAAGAGTTTTCTCCTTTGAGAAGAAAGTCCACATTATTTAAGTGCAACAACATTAGTGCAAGAATTGTGGCATTCTAAAATAAGCTTTTGAGAGTGTCATCAGCTAAACCGCCAACGTTTCTGAGAAACACCACCTCCCCAACTCAAGAAACGTGGGTACCTCATAGATTTGCACCCAAAACTTTTAATCCTTTATTTTTCTAGTTGAGCAGAAAAAGAATACTCTTGGTTTTACTGTGGACCGCTGGCAACACATATAATAGCACTCAAAATGGTTCACTAAAGGAAACTCGACAGTAGCATAGTCAGCAATGAGGAGGCCTCACTGTTTTAGGAAAATGTGAAACGGCAATACTGATTTACAATAACACATTTACTAGATAATATTCATGTCATCTGCCAAACATCCATGCCAGATACATACCTTAGGTTGTTGATCAGGCTTTGGAAACTGCCTTATGTGCACATTTGCAAGCAAAAGTATAAGGTGCTCCCTCTGATTTGCCACATTATCCTTCTGAAAATTGATTAGGACAGTCAATGAATATTGGTTAAAAAAAAAAGAAATGCATTGCATTCCAACTGAAGAAGAGTAGCATTAATAAATAGGGCCACAAGGGCCTTACCTGCACTCTCAAGGTGCAAAAGCTGTCTAATTACGTTACCTGAAACCCAAACATTGACTGAAGCCAATCCAGAATGTCTTCCTCGTTTTTCTTATTGTCATCCTTTGGCCGAGGAAGACCCCTGGTGTTACGAAGAGCAAAAACAGCAGCTTGTACCTGCAAACAACATATCATTTGAGCACAAGTGAAAGCGGAGGTATACATACAAATAAGAATAATAAGAATTGACCTCTGGATATTTCATAATTGCTTGATTTGCACTATCAGGATCAAGTGGAAGGATATTGTAAGGGACCAAGAGCTGTGTCTTTTCTGTAACTTTATCATGAGCTTCCAAAATCTGCAAGCACCAAACATAAGTCCATTACCAAAGAACACTCCAACACACAGGAAACTAGTAAAATACAACAGCGGTTAAATCTTGACACTGAAAAATAATCGCCATCATATAAAGTGCTGAGAGAAAGGAAAAGAAAAGCTTTACAAATCAGAAATGGAAAGAGTAACAGAGTTGTACCTCACGATCAACTTCCATAGATTGTGTCATTGTAACAGCCTTTAAAACCTCAAAGAGAACATTGGCAGTCTGGTATGCCTTGGTAAGCTGTGCACTGTATAGAAGGAAAAACCACCATCAGACAGAGCAAGGAGCAATTATACTAAGCACTCCCCCTAACAAGACCAACAATCTTCCAATGAAACCCACCGGTCAGCTTTATGAGTACTTGACAAAGCTTGAATATATTTTTTGTAGTAATGATGGTAGAAGCTCTGCATTTCACGTGCATCACTTTTTTTAACTCTTCCCTTGAGTGTTGGATCATTCTCCTGAAAAATAGAGAAAACTTTGCTTAGAGAACAGATAACACTAACAAGAAACAACTAACTTTTGGTTTTTAGAAACAACTAACTTTGATAAGATTTTTAAGATCCCATGTTAATCTCATTAGAGAGAGTATCAACATTGCAGAAAAGCAACTTTTTCTTCTTGTTTTGGGTGGAGTTGTTCGTGGATCTAACAACTTGGTCATGGAACAGACTCACTGCTCTCAAACCAAGATTTTCCTGGCATTGTGTGTGTATGTGGTTATTGAATGGTAGAACTCAGATAGACACAATAAAGGGTCCATGATAGTTACCTAAAAAGCGTACAGAAGTTCAAGTCTGTATGAAATTTTACCTAACTTTGATATAAATTCATTAGTACTTTTTCATGTCACACTTTATGGTTCTTTGACATGAAACCACAGTGCACTGAAAAAGTTCTTCGGGGATTTACACGTTCCAGGCCTGAACGTGTTATAAAAATAAAGAAACCAATTTGACTTGAAAACAGAAAGTAAGTTTACTTCCACAGAGCCTAAGATAAAGAATTCCCCCCTATGAATAAGGTTTAGGGCAAATTTTCCACTAAGACCAAAACATGTCTGCAAGCACTGTCCACTTCTCTAAAGATGGCAGTTATTTGTCAGCTTGAGAATTTTAAAAAGGTAGTCACCCAGAAAACTGCATTAAGCAAGCATCTAAAGTTGGCTTAGAATATGACTACAAATTAATCACTCAATGGATCTGCAAGACATAGTCTTTCTAAGATTCAGCCCAAAATCAGAATAGCCCATAGACATCATTTTGCTTTCCATTCTTCCCTTCATTAAGAAAGAAATTCAGTAGAGGGGATCTAAAGTTGGCTACAAAGAACTGAAGATTCATACAACAAAACCAATTTCTAAAGAACTGCGTACAGAAATGATGAAGAGCTTTCGTCCTGAGATGTGAAAAACTTTATGTACAAGGATACAAAATAATTGAGTTCATACAAAGGAACAAATTTTTAAAGGACTAAGCATCGCTGTAGCTGGAAAAATATACAATTATGAGCTTTATATGAAGATAATTAAATAATACAGCGTATACCCTTTCAAGACGTTGAAGAAGGGCAGTTTTAAACTGACGAACGCCACGTCCACTAGAAGTGGGATCCAGCCTATGAGCCTTCTCAAAGGCATAAAATCGACCTACACAACATCCACCACAGAATTATATCTCGTATGGCCAACACAATAAAGTAGAACAAGACTGGGAACATTTAAATGAAAGAAACAAGATTGCCCTAGTGGAATATTTTAAAGATGGTTCATATAAAGAAAGAACCACCAAATAATATCAGTCAGCCCTTGTTTCTCAAACCAATTTCTAATTTCCACAACAGGTGTAAGAAAAGGTGTGTTACTATATATTTACTTTAATGAGACAGTGGACCACATATCAGACAACATAACTCAACTCTGACTGTGCAACGTGCACACATAGAATCTCTGAAAAATATAACAGACTTCTAACATAACTAGACAAACTCCAAAGCATCAATACATAGATGAATCCTCCATTCGTAAATATTAGATACAGAAAACGCTCTTACAAAGAAGCCACACATCCACCTATGCAGAGAAACAACTGTGTGTGCATGTGCAATCAAACCGAGCACAAAATGCATAAACGATCAAGCAAAAAAAAGGCTAAATTGCATTGCCTAAGCATTAGTTAGGTACCAACTGCATACAAAAATTAAATAATCTCCAAAATGCAAATGAAGAAACAGACCCAGATGAAAATAAATACTTAAAGCTCATTAATTCGCAATTCCAAACAAGCAACTAACTAAAGTGAAAAACTTACAGAGATAAGCAACTCTAGGATTGTGCGATTCGACTTCATTGGCAACACGAAGAATGGGAGCGATTTCGACAAGGGAAGAGGGCACGACCTCACTGTCGAATGCCGTCTCCCCAAGGTTCCCGGCGGTCTGGGTTCGGCTTATCCGCCTCTGCAGTGCCTGCTGAGGTGGCTGTTCCGAACCACCCCCTCTCGACGACGACGCCATTTTCCTCCTTCACTTCCTATCAAAACTTCAGAGCTCAATCCTTCCTACTAAAACATATAAAATTCCAACCAAAAAAGAAAATTTCAAAAAAAAATTCAAAATTTGAACAAATAACAGAAAAATAAAGCTACAAACTTAAATAAACATAAAAAATAGCGAGAGAGAGATTACCGTCACCACCGGAGCAGAGAAGCTAAGCCATGAAATCCAGCATCTGAAACATGCAAGAGAGAGAGAGAGAGATATATAGAGATTAAATGCTAATAATTTCCAAAATTTGAAAAAAAAATACGTAAAAAAATGGAGAATGTGATGGAAAAGGAATGTGGGAAAGTCGAGAGCTTTACAAAAACAACAGAAAGACGAGTGCTTTGCAGTGAGGGTGTTTCCAGTAGAGAAGAAACCCTAGGAGAGAGAAACTGAAAAGCAGATAGAGAGAAAGGGGGGGATGCTGGAAGTTTAAGCTAAAACGAAGGGAAAGCAAAAGGGTGGAGGGGAGAGAGAGAGAGAGAGAGAGCTGCTGGAATGCTCTTCCTCCCGAAAGAGAATTTTTCTACTTTTTTTTTTTTTCAACTTGTGGGCCCAGATTCTTGAAATCTAGTTTTACGATATTGCCCTTGTTTGCCTGCCATCTTGCAGATTTGAATGACTGTAATGCCCTAGGAGATTGCTCCACTGCTCTTCTTCTGGGGTTAAATTTGTAACTAGGGCAATGGGTACTTCGGTCAGAAAATTTTTGAATATCACAAAAGTTAAAAGATTCGGAAGTATCCGAGGTTGGCTTGGAAATAATGAATAGACAATTTCGGTCATCCGTTGTTGCTTTTACTTCACTCCTCTTCTGCCCTACCAAACGACACCAAATAGGGAAGGGTCAAAACGGTAATAACAACACATGTTAAACCGCCGTAACAGCTGACTGTGGAGCTCAGGATTTTTTTTTTTTTTTTTCGATCTATAGATTTGTTAGATTAAGTAATAGACGAGTTCAAACTCAAGTTGGTGTAAGAGTTTCACTTATCTTCATTGCCATGGTAGAGGCCCAACTAATTTTTGTTTACTTAAGGTTATTATCTTCACTTCAAGTTTCAGTTTCAATTTGTTTGGATGATGAAAAGTTATGTATTTATGATGCGTTTAATACGTAAAAATTGAGAACAAGATTAAATCCAAACACGATTAGTTGTCATGCATAATTCAATACCCAACTTTGGAGAATTATGCTCGTTGTGAGTGTGTTGTAGAAGTACTTTTTGATATATTATTTGTTAAGTTGTCTAGTTGTACTATTACTTATACCATCTTTTTTATAAAAGTAAGACCCGTTAAAGTATGTAAGTTTTGTCTTTATTAGAAAGATTGTACGAATAAATGGTAAGAATAACATTTTAATAAATAAATATAAGAAGAATGGAGTGGAGGAATATTGTAAAACATGGAGGGTAATTTAGGACTTTCAAATACTGTCTAATTATCATGGGTTGAGATTGAGATATGGATGTCGGTTTGCTTGTCTGTAATCCAGGATTTAGTAGCGCGGGACCCGCACGAGCGAACTGACACGACTTGCGAGGGAATGAACGACTGAACTTATTGAAGAAGGTTGATAAACGGTAGAAAAATTAAAGAAAGTATTAATTATTCGACCCCAACATAAAAAAAAAGTACTTTTTTTGGTACAGTCCACGTCACTCACATGGATAACATAATATAATATAATAAAAATCATGTTTACGGATGCATTTTTACTTTTCATATATTTTTATTAATTTTTCTCATTGCATTTTCACTTTTCACATATTTTTATTAATTTTTCTCATTAAGCCCATTTCTTTGAAATCCCACTATAGTAATGCCAATAAAAATAGAAAATGAGAGACCCAAAGTAATGAGAAAATTACGATTCATTCAAAATTTTAATTGTTTAATTCACGAGAAGCCCTACCTGCAAGGTCGGGGTGGACTTCGTGATCAGGTTAGCTCCCATTCGAATTACGTTGAGGGGGTATTTCCATCCTGAAGTTTTGGGTTAGATATTTTAAAACTTGGGGTTTTTATCGAAAATAAAAAAAAATATGTGAGAAATAAAAATAGTTGCGTGAATAGAATTATTTAATATAATATATGTAGAAGTATGCAACATAGTTTGTGATTTGGGCCTCTAGGAAACTTAGCCCAAGGGTCCCATCTAATGGACTGAGAGACGAAAGAGCAGTCCAATTCAAATTCACTAGGTTGAGGTTTTAGTAGCCGGCCCAATCGTGACAACAAGAGTGAGTTGGTCTATTTTCCCGTAAAAACTTATCGCACTGCTCATCCGATCTTCCCTCACTAGAAATATGTATATGAAGTTTTTATTTCGATTTGACGTTAATATGTCAGCGGTGCTGGTCGCAACAGTAATAACGGTGGGTGGTGACAGTGGTGGTGCCAGTGTTGGTGGTGAGGTGAGGTGATGGCGGAAGCAATGGTGGTGAGAACGAGGTGAGGACAACATGGTGGTGACGTAGTAGTGAAGGGTGGTTGAGTAGTGAAGGGTGACGTAGTAGTAGTGAAGGGTGGTTGAGTAAATCACCAGCCCCAGCCCCATACCCAGTGGCAGCATAAGTGCTTTGAGTAGTAAATCAGTTCACCTTCCCCCAGGACTGTTCCCTGCATGTTATAGAATTTAACCCATGTATAGTTTGTTTGTGCCTTTAATTATTTCTTGTGGTGGAATTAATTTGTTCCCTTAATCATAATGTAATTTCATGATTTGAACAATTCAAATTTTAGAATATCACCACTAGATCATTATTGCAAAAATTTATTCAAAGATCATTTAGCTCTTTTATTATTATTGTGGACATTTCATTGTTTATCGACAATTTCTTGTTTGTCTATTTATCATGCCACACTTAGATAACTAATTATGACTTCTGATTTTAGTAAATTTTTGCATTAATAATCTTTCAATGGTACCTAAAAGTCGATAGGGTTGGATTATGAAAAATGTTCTCTAATGTGTTGAAACGAGTGACTGGTTTTATATTAAAATACTAATTGGTTAGTGCTTGAGTGCTCATATATATATATATATATATATATACTAATTGGTTTTATATTAAAATACCAATGTCAATGCAAATTGGATCATTTTTAGGATTTGGAATTACATTTGCGTACTAGCACCTAAAGAACATGAGAAAATGGACCAATTAGCTCATCGATCAAAGTTGAAAGAGATCCACGTTCGACTTATTTATTGACATTACACTAAGCTTATTTATTGACGTTACAATATTAAACTAAATAACCAAATAGCACCACTATATATAGTACGTAGTGCGTAGTACATTTTCCTTCATGCATGCATATGATCTCCAATTAAAACTTGTTCTTGTACCAAAAAACACCGTTTTTAGCTCCACCATAACCATTATCCTCATCATCCGGCTCAACATAAAGGCACTCTTTAGCCTCCCTCCACAAGGCCTTGTAAACCGGAGTCCCATCGAAACTATAGTACTCTCCCAAGAAAGGCTTCACTGCTTCTGTTGCCTCCACTGCATGGTAATGTGGCATTGTAGAGAAAAGATGGTGAACCACATGCGAATCTGTGATATTGTGGAAAACCTTATTAAGCACCCCAAAGTCTCTGTCCACCGTCGACAAAGCCCCTCGCAACCAGTCCCATTCCGACGAGCCGTAGTGCGGCAGCGAGGAGTGTGTGTGCTGCAAGTACGTGATCAACACAAGAAACCCGTTAACTACAACCAATGGGACTCCGTAAATACAAGTAAGCCAAACAAACCCTTTGGCCATTGCAATGCGGTAGAGCACATAAGTTACGGCCACAATCGCAAGGTCAGAAATGTAAATTTGAAGACTTTCGCGGGTCGAAAATATTGGACTTTTGGGATAGTAGTGGCACGCAAACCGGTCGTATTCCCGGCCAGAGACGTTGAAGGCCAAGTACAAAGGCCAACCGAGTGTGAGTGTTACCAAAATACTCAAGAGCCTGCCTGGAGGGTTGTTGAAGTACTTGCTGTAAAACGGAATTTTGGATTTAGGTTTTGGAACAAATACTTCGTCCCGTTCGAGGGACGCCGTGTTGGAGTGGTGGCGGCGGTGACTGTATTTCCACGAGAAGTAAGGGACTAGGAGAAATGAGTGAAGGGTAAAGCCGACAATGTCATCAACTACTTGGTAGTCACTGAAGGCGTGGTGGCCGCACTCGTGTGCGATAACCCACACGCCGGTGAGTGTGCAGCCTTGGAGGATCCAATAGAGAGGCCAGGAGATGTAGGAGAGGAGGGGGAGAGGGAGGAGGTGGAAGTAAGAGGTGGCGATGTGGTAGAAGAGGAAGGATAAGGCGAGGTCGTAGAGGAGATAGGAGAAGGAGCGGAGGAGAGAGCGGTTGAAGCAGTGGGGAGGGATAGCTTTCTTGATTTGGCTTAGAGTGAATGGAGGTTTTGAGACTGGCACCCTTTTTTGGTGCGTGGTTTTTTGCTTTTTAGACTTGGTTTTGGTAACCATGTTCCCCCCAGCTCCCATTTTGCTTGATCTTGAATTCTCTGTAGCAGTCCTGAAAGAATCAAATAAAGAATTTACACATCAAAAAAAGAAGAGAAAACTCTGATGATCTCCACTAACATAAAAGCTTAAATCTATATCGTCACAAGAGACAACTACATGCACACATTGGATCTAAGAGTACATAACATGATCTAACATATTAGGGTTTTGAACAGATTAAATATGGTCATGAGGTCTGTGTAGATGACTCCAGAACAAGTACACACCTTCAGGCTTTGAGCAGAGGAAGAAGTTTGTCACCAGGTGAAACTGAAAGCACTTCTCTCTAGCTAGAAGTGCTTTTTCTCTCTGAGAGGCACTCCAACACAGAAAACACACTATGGCTTTTAATCAATACATACACCTGTGCGTGTCGTCGTCTTCTCATGCATTTGCATAAAGTGAGTGAAACTAGTCACCAGAGTTGGCCCCACAATGCTCACATGCATATGCATGGATGCTTGTCACCTGATGAAATTGAACTGACACGATGAAACACTTGGCAAGAAATTCCACGTATCTGGTTAGAATGATGTTAGATAGACTATTTTTATATCATATTTTATAGATTATATGTTGTGATGGTTGACAATTGATTAATTTTTTAAATCACTAAGAAAAAAGTCCAACTATGAACCACCACGTTATATAATTTATAAAAAAATGATCTAAAAAGATGGTTTATTTAACGAAGATTACAACTGGAGATGAATAAAAGTTGCATTCCAACGCATTCTTTTGGGGTAAATGGAGACGAATAGAAGTTGCATTTTTTTTAATAATAGGATTTTTTTTCCCTTCAAATACTCTTCCCTTCTCTCCTTTCTGATCTCACTTTTTTCTTGTCTTTCTCTCTTTAAAAAAAGTAAACACATAATATTGACGTAATTTAATTATAACCGTTCAAATAGGAAGAAAATTTCAACTTTGAAGGAGAGGATTTTTTTTTTTATTTCGGTTACAATTAATGGGATGGTTGATGTATACTTATAGTAAGGACGAAACCATTGCATGGGATTTGTGTTGTGTAGTGAAACTACTCCAAACACCCGTCAATATTCCGAGCACGGATCAGAGAGTGGGACCCACAGGGGAGTCACCGAGTCAGTAATTTAGCTGTATTTTCTTGGGGCGTTTACGCACGCGACTCTCACGTGTTCACCCTCGGTATCAACGGCGAACTAAACTTGAAGCCCATCAGCCCAAAAGCATATATGTGGGGACTCCAGAGTCCAATCCTAGCCCAAAATCTCGTTTAATAGAAGCCCAAACCCAAACAAGTTACCTTTTTACTTTAGGTTTTGAGTCGTTTTCAGAATGAATTATGGCGTTTTAATTTTCTAAAATAGTACTAAAACGTTGTAAATTGCGTCAATTTATACCTTCTATTTTCTTGATTATATAAAATATAGGAGTTACCTTTTGCTTATATAAAACTAGCATATGGGCACACATAAAATGTGTGAGAAAATTTTTTATTTTTGTTTTTGAAATAGGAGAGAGGAAGAGAGTGATAGAGAATGCGGGGGTGGAAAGTTTATTTATTTATTATTTATTTTTAATTAAAGATGTGTTAGGATTACACGTAGGCTTTGAAAAAAAAAACAAAATTTGATTGTGTGAAATTACATTTCTACCTCATATTTCTTATTTATGTTTTGTTTTAATTAGAGAGTTAAACCGGTAATTTCTAAGATTTTGGTTGACAATAGGTGTTTTATATAAAATATAAGAGTTACCTTCTCGTTAGGTTAAATAAGTAACCTTTTGCTTGATTATATAAGAACATGACCATTTGCGTTTCTTTCTGGAATCGGACTTTAAGTCACGAAGTTAATGATGCTAACATGAAAGAATCTGAAACACAAGATGATGAGATAGAAGCAGACGAAGACGGTGATGATGTTACACAAAAGAAAAAGAAACAATCTAAAGAAGTTGTTACAAGTGAAATGGTTGATTCCTGGTGCAACGCCATTAAAGAACATGGGAAATTGAGTACTAGTCATTCCCTAATGAAGAGGACGAGTCATTGTTGGACTTCAGTGTCATGTCTATCAGTGTCTTTAACAAAATCGTTGTACATTGTCATTTTGTTTTATTTTGATATCATTTTGGAGAAACTGAAGTCCTTGTATATTGTCATAAGATGAGAAGAAGTCAGGGGCTAGCCCTCTGTCGAAGTACGTTGCAACTCTACGTGAAGTAGCACAACAAAGAAATGCTTTGTTGTCGGAATATTCCACGTCTGAGATCGCGTTGTCTATTGAGTTCATTTCCACAGTACCATGTTTAGTAAATTAGTGTTCCATTTTCTAACATGCTAATTGCTTCCAGTGTTCTTGTGGGCGAGCATTCATCCGTGTTAGGAAGTAAAGGACGAGAAAGCAATGAAGATGATACCAGGGACGAGGAAGGCACTGCTGTCTTTAGTTCGTCCTGGTTACCAGGAAAGGACTCCAAGTATAGTCCCTCACTCTCTTTCTCTCTCTCTCTCTCTCTCTCTCTCTCTCTCTCTCTCTCTCTAGATCTCTTTACAATTTTACTTTTGGTGTTTGTGTTGTAACATTGTTGGCTTTGCAGAGCAGAACCACCCAAGATGTGAGAAGAAATGGAAGAGAAAGACTGAGCGCCAGGACCAAGTTGCCATGGATGAAGATATTGTTCAGGAGTTGGTACTCAGTTCTGATGAAGAAGACGGGTCTTAAAGTGACACCTTTTCGGCTGAAGAAGATGAAATGGAGAAACCAGCTCCTTCGAAGCTGGAAACAAAGAAGCCGAAACACTCTACAAATAAATCAAAACAGAATGCAGCAAAATGGTCAAAGAAGAGAGAGACGGGTGGTAACTGAAGAGACACAAGTATCTCGTGCACCCGTCCGATAGTCTCCATTTTTTGTCAATCCTTTTTCTTTTCAACAGAAGTTATGAGAATGGTGTATTGAAGAGCTTATGAAAACCAGTTTTGTCAAAGTGGTTTGTTTTGTTGTACGTACCTGAATGTTATGCATGAAGTTCCTTTTGGATCAATGTGAAGAGATTAATTTGCAGTTTTTTTCTTCCCTCTTATAAAAGTAGAATTGCAAGTTTGTATCTGTTAGACAAAAATATCCCAACTTATGACAACATTTTTATGGAGGGGGATGGAACTTTCCTAAATCGAAAGACTAATTTATACAAAGTTAGAAGTTCATGTCCCAATTAGTTATGTTTTGGATGCTGATCAACATTAGATTAAGCTATTCACATGTTGGATTTCAATCACATATCTGAGCGGGAAAAAAAAAAAAAGAGGAATTACTATTAGCACTCAAATATGTCATTTTGCACCCACTCATTTCTTATTTTCTTTTATTATTTAGAGAGAAATGCATGATAATTATATTTTGAGTTCGAATCCAATAACGACACTTGTCTAGTTCTAATAGTTTATTTTGTGATACATTATGACGCATGTGGTGATGTGAGTTAAACAGGAGTTATTTGTTGTCTATCATCAATAGGCCTTAAGCATTTGGGTTTGGGTTAAGAATAATGGAGAATAATGAATGAGCTGGAGACATTTTAAGCTTTAATAATTTGGATGCTTTTTGAAGAATAAAAGCCTTTAAAATTCGATGCTTCATTTAAGAATAAAAGCCTTAAGCATTTGGGTTTGGGTTAAGAATACTGGAGAATAATGGATGAGCTTGAGACATTTTAAGCTTTAATAATTTGGATGCTTTTTTAAGAATAAAAGCCTTTATAATTCGATGCTTTTTTTTTTTTTTTTTTTTTACAGTCACTTTATCGGCAACTGGTGTAGAATCAGGTACCGAAAATGAAGATCAAAGAGGAGATGGAAAAGAAGAAGAAGACAGAGAGCAGCTGAGATAAAAGCCTTGTTGGCTAGCATCAATAAGCCTTAAGTGAAGCATTTTTTTTTTCCTTTAAAATAGGAGTAACTGGTGGTAAACCACAGTTATCAACTTATTCTAAGTCCGGAGAGGCTACGGGTGATTTCAAGAATAATGGATGAGTTTAAGCTTTAATAATTTGGATGCTTTTTGTAAGAATAAAAGCCTTTAAAATTGGATTTCTTTTTTTAAGAATAAAAGCCTTTTAAAATTGGATGCTCTTTTTTGTGCAGTCTGTCTGCAACCGGTGTGGAATCAGGTACCGAAAATGAAGATCAAACAGGAGATGGAAAAGAAGGCAAAGAGAGCAGATGAGATAAAAGCCTCGTAGGCTAGCATCAACAAGCCATAAGTTAAGCATTTGGGTTAAAAATAATGGAGAATAATGGATATAAGCTTTTATATTTTGGATGCTTTTTTAAGAATAAAAGCCTTTAAAATTAGATGCTTTATTTAAGAATAAGAGCCTTTGTAATTGGATGCTTTTGTAAGAATAAATGCTTTTTTTAGCATACTGAGAAATGTTTTAACCAGTGTGGTCGACTGAAAATTATTGTCCACAACATTATTCTCCCCACTGACGAAGTTAAGTTTTCCTATATAACCTAAACAGGCTTTGCTACTTCCTCACCTGAAAATTTGGAACGAAATTTCTAGTTTCCAACTTCCTTTTGCAAACAAGAGAAAATGGCTTTGGTTGGAGAGGCTTTGCTCTCCAGTTCGATCCAGGTGCTGTGCGATAAGATTGCTTCGGGGGAGTTGATGGACTTCTTCCGGAAAGAAGACTCAACCATTCGCTCATGGACAAACTGAAGGTGACATTGACAACACTTCATGCAGTGCTCAACGACGCAGAGGAGAGGCAGATTGTCGAGCCAGATATTGGGAGCTGGATTAACGAGCTCAAAGATGCTGTGTTTGACGCCAAGGACTTGGTGGATGAGATCGATACTGAAGCTTTGCGTTGCAAGGCGAGAGATCAAACTAAGAAAACCCAGGTGTGCAACTTCCTGTCTACCTCTCTTAATCCTTTTAAATATAAAGGCATGAATGGTAGGATAGAGGAGTTATTTCAGAGGTTAGAACACCTTGCAGACCAGCGAAATCGCCTTGGTCTTAAACAAGATATTGGGCGCAATGTTTCACAAAGAACTCCCACAACTTCTGTAGTTGAGAAAGGATTTTGTCCCTACGGTAGGGATCGAGATAAAGAAAAGTTAAAAGATCTACTGTTGCTATCTGATAATGAAAGTAGCAGTAATTTTTCTGTAGTCCCTATAGTCGGTATGGGCGGGGTTGGTAAGACAACTCTTGCTCAACTCCTTTACAATGATGAACAAGTTAAAAAGCATTTCGATACGAATGCTTGGGTCTGTGTTTCCGAACAATATGACGATTTGAGGGTGATTAAGACCCTGATTGAGCAAACCACTGGGAAATCTTGTGATATCTCAGATAGGAATTCCCTTGAAGTTCGACTAAGAGAACAACTAAGGGGAAAGAGGTTTTTACTTGTCCTGGATGACCTTTGGAATGAGAGCTATGATGACTGGGATCATCTACAAAATCTTTTCACGTATGGGGCAAAGGGAAGCAAGGTCATTGTAACAACAAGGAATAAACATGTCGCATCCATCGTGCACAATACTATTCCTATTCACATCTTAGAAGAATTGTCGGACGAGAATTGCTGGTTATTGCTGGCAAAACATGCATTTAGAAATGAAAACCCCAGTGCACATCCAGACTTGGTTGAAATTGGTAAGCAAATTGCACGTAAGTGCAACGGTTTGCCTCTAGCTGCAAAAACGTTAGGGGGTCTCTTAAGTTGCAACCTAGACTGCAAGGAATGGAGTCACATATTGGATAGCAATCTTTGGGATCCACTACATCCTACTAGTATTCTTCCTTCTCTAAGATTGAGTTACCATTATCTTCCAAGTTACTTGAAACAATGCTTTGCTTTTTGCTCAATTTTTCCAAAGAACTATGAGTTTGAAAAGGAAAATGTAATTCGACTATGGGCGGCAGAAGGTTGAATTCCACTATTGGAGAGCGAGAATACAATAGAGGAGGTTGGTGAAACATACTTTGGTGAATTGTTATCGCGATCACTATTTCAAAGACCAAGATTGGATCAACCAAGTTTCACCATGCATGATCTCATCAATGACTTGGCTATGTTTGTATCTGGAGAGTTTTGTTTGAGGTTGGATCGGGAAATTTCACATGAAGCTCCTAAAAGAGGTTGTCGGCTGGATCTGGAAACTTCACATAAAGCTCGAGACAGAGTTCGCCACTTATCGTATATTAGAGGAAAATTGGATATAGCTTCAAAATTTGAGCCATTAAAAGGAGTTAAGTGTTTGCGTACCTTCTTTCCAGTATCTTTAACACCATATTATGGCTGGGATCATGAATATATAAGCAATAAGTTTCTAGATGATTTATTGCCAGCACAAAAATGTTTACGGGCATTTTCATTGTCAAGATATGAAAATATCACTCACTTACCTGATTGGATTGGTAACCACATACACTTGCGTTACATTGATCTCTCTTATATGGCAATTAAAAGGTTACCAAATACAGTGTGTGGTCTCTACAATTTACAAACTCTATTGTTGTTGGGTTGTTCTTCTCTTGTTGAATTGCCTGCAGACATGAGGAAATTGATTCGTTTGCGTCATCTTGATATTAGTGCGACTAATATAAAAGAGATGCCGGTGCAAATGGGTAAACTAAGAAGTTTGAGAACGCTCACTGCTTTTGTGTTGGGAAAATCGACTGGGTCAAGCATTGCAGAACTGAGGGAGTTGTCGCACCTTCGAGGAAAAATTTCTATCTTGAATCTGCAAAATGTAGTCGGTGATATTGATGCCTTGCTGAAGGATAAGAAAGATCTTGATGAGGTAGAGTTGGCATGGGGTAATGAAGTTTCGGAGGATTCCGCAAAATATAGACACTGTACTTGAAGGACTACAACTTTCGGTAAATTTGGAGAAACTAACCATCAGGTGGTATGGCGGAACCAGTTTTCCGAAGTGGGTGGGAGACTCTTCCTTCTCCAAGTTACAAGTGATGCGTCTCAGCAACTGTAGTAATTGCAGTTCATTGCCACCAGTTGGTCAGCTTCCTGCTCTCAAAGAGCTCTACGTAGAAAGCATGAAACTTGTTACGAGTGTTGGTGATGAATTCTACGGGGGATATCAACCGTTTCAATCTTTAGAGAGGCTAGAGTTTTGGGATATGCCAGCGTGGGAGGAATGGCTGCCTAGTCCAAGTGTAGATGAAAGTCCAGACTTTCCTCGTCTCAAGGAGCTGATGTTACGTAGGTGTCCGAAGCTGAGAGGAAACTTGCCCACTTGTCTTCCTTTGTTGAAAAAACTTACGGTATATGGATGTGAGGTTCTACATGAAAACAGGGCCAGTAATGCCCTGAACACGGAATCCTTACGACGATCTCTTGAAGAACTGACAATAAACGGATGTCCCAGTCTGTCATTGTTACTAGAGTCGAGGGAGACGCTGCCGTCGCTTCAGATGCTTTATATTTATTTTCTTGGTGGGACAGAGTGGTTGCCGCAAATGGTGCACAACACTAATCGTCTTCAACATTTGACTCTTTCATTTTGTTCCTCACTCTTGTCGTTCCCTACAAATGGTCTGCCCACCACGCTGAAGTCACTTGAAATACAAGATTGCAAGAAATTAGAATTCCTGTCACGTGAGATGATGGCCAAACTGACTTCCCTCAAGTCTTTGCATTTATTGGATTGCTGTGATTCTCTGAGGTCGTTCCCTTTGGGCATCTTCCCCAAACTTTCGACTCTTGGTATCTATGGTTGCCAGAATCTGGAGTCCCTTTATGTTGAAGGAAGAGCAGTTGAAAATCTCAGCCATCTCAACTACCTGTCTCTCCGGAGATGTCCAAACCTGGTCTCTTTTCCCGACGGAGGATTGCCCACTCCCAACCTGACTTCCTTTTCAGTCTGGGGATGCAAGAGTATGAAGTTGTTGCCAGACCAAATGCACACCCTCACCGCCCTTCAACATTTGTGGTTACAAAATCTTCCAAATCTGGAGTCACTTGCACAAGGGGGTATGCCTCCCAACCTACAAGCATTTTGGATCGAAAATTGTGAGAGACTGAGGCCTTCAGAGGAGTGGGGATTGCAAATACTTGGCTCTCTTCGAGAATTTGTAATCATCGGAAACAAGGACCTGCTGGAGACGTTGCTCAAGGAACATCTGCTCCCTGCCACTCTTCTCAATCTCAAAATCTCTCAACTTTCAAATCTGAAATCGTTGGACGGGCAGGGACTTGAGCACCTCACTTCTCTTCAACAGCTAGAAATTTCATGGTGCCAGAGTCTCGAATTCCTGCCAAAAGAGGGTTTTCCGGCGTCTCTTTCTTGGCTGAGTATCGAGAATTGTCCTTCTCTGAAGAGGAGTTATCGGAACAAGAAGGGAAAAGATTGGAGAAACATATCTCGCATTCCTTGCATAAAGATAGATGATGAAGTCACCATCCTATGAGCTTTCTCTTCACCTCTCCAACTCTCAACTCTCAACTCTCAAGACGAAGCCAGGTAATTTCTTATTTATTATTATATTGATTGTCCTCAGCAATATTCCTACTTAAATTCAAGTTTCGGAGTATAATTCCAATGAAATTACAGGAGAATGCGAGGAGACTGACTTCTTTGTATTCAGATACTGTGGAACTACTTGGGGTGGATGTACATGATTCTCCTGCACGAGAGGAGGTAAACCCTGAGTGATGGTTTTTCATAATTCTCCCTTTTGCGCACAGCAGTTGGATAGTGCCTCATGGCAGTGCTTGCTTGAATGCCAGTACGTACATTGTGGTAACTAGATAAGGAGGCCGGTTGTTGTGCTATGGATTTCACTGGTTGAACATTGCAGACGGATGTAAATTGTAATTTACTTTCTCTCACTTTTTCTATCTTCGGTTTGCCTTTTCTCTATTGCATTTATATTAGGGATCAGTCTTTTTCTTTAACAGTTCAATTCAACTATATGTTAAGTCAAGAAAATGTGATGGTACTAACAGATGTATTGGTTTCATTGATGCATTGAGCAAAACAGACTAAACCTGTAAAGATAGGATTATCAGATGGAGCTCTGGTTTACTGGACTATCAAGTTTGAAATCTTTGGATGGAAATGGACGTTCAAACCTCCTGGACTCTCAACTCTATTAAGAGAGCACCGCTTATTGGCACTGCATGCTAGAATGCCAGTATTACTAGACTCGGTGGCTGGCTGCTGCGCCTACAGATTTCACTGTAAGCAGTTGAACAGTGTAATCTGTTCTTCCTTTATGTATCAATGTAATTCAACTAAGGTACTATATCCTTGAAATATGAATGTTTACCTTTTGTTTAGTTATTGGATTGTCTCTTGTAGGCTAACATGCACCTTTGTAGAACTTAAGAATGATCAGAAAGGCTAATGACACTACCTACCCAACTGAGAGAGCTTAACCTCGATGAATTATTTGTGGCAAGAGCGGCTAGATAAACTGCCTGTAAAAGTTTTTTGAAGTCATTGACAACATTGAAAAAAAAAAAAAAATTAGATTTTCTTGGTACCATTGAATAAAAATGTTAGCTTTTCATCCATGTTTCAAATTCTAGTTTCTCATTATTATTTTTTAATTCTGGAAATTGAATTCAGTTTAAAACGCGCCAGATGCCCTAGGCCCCTATATATCTAGCATTCACTTGTGTTGCTTTGCGTTTTGTAGGAAGCATTCCGAAAGGTTTATGAGTGGAAGTTCATGAACTGTCTTGAGCTATGGACTAGAGCTGTCTCTCCCTATGGCACAGAACCTGAGTTTAGGCCTGTTGCGTATCCTCTGGCTCAAATAATTTATGGGGTAGCCTGTCTAGTTCCAACAGCTTGATACTTTCCCCTCAGATTGAGGTGTATTAGAATGCTTAATCGCATTGCTTCTTCGACAGGTACTTTCACTCCGGTTTCTATGCTGCTTTTGGACATGCTTGAGATTAAACAGTTGAACAGATCCACCACTGGCGGTGTTGGCAAGGCTATTGATTTGCGCACTGTACTGAAGGTGTATTTTAGTGTGGACATTGTCTCTTCTTCAAATTCAATACTACATTGTTATTGTTTTTAGGAGTTTGAGGAAAAAATTTCTTTCAGGTTAGCAAGCCAACCCTGAAGACCAGAGCATTTCAGGAAGCGTGTGTGTTATCTGTTGTAGACGAGCTTGCTGAACATTTAGCTCAGTCGAGCTTTTCTGTTGCTTTCCCCGAGTTGTCTTTTATTCCAGTAACTGTACGATTGAGTACCTTCTGCAAATCCACCAAGGTTGAGAGGTTTCGGAAAGCAATGAAGGAGCTCATTCGTCAGGTACGTGGTTAGAGTAGCGTGTCTAGTGACCACATGTGCTCTGCTCCCATGCCCGAGCTTGAGATGTGTGGACTATCGATTGGTTGAAGAAGTTTTTAATACTCTTTCATCTGTTAATAATTACATCTTTTAAATGTTGGAAAACCTTGTTGTACATAGCTAATGTTTCAGCTCTTCCATATCCCAGATCGAGGCTAATTGTCAGTTTACAAATGAAAGGCGTATGTCAATTTCTTTTCTCCCAAATGATCCTGCAGCTGCGTATTTCCTTGAGGTCTGCCGTCTGCCCTTCCGTAATTTTCTTCTCTCATGTGATTTTGCCATCAATGTATGATATGTATTACCAGCCAATAACCACAAATGCCTATTTCTTGGATCTTTCATGATTGAATTATCAGACATTGTTTTAATCTGACATATCTTCAACGCTTTGCCTTCATTTCGTTCTATTTTGATATCATCTTGGAGAAACTGAAGTCCTTATTATAGGATGAGAAGAAGTCAGGGGTTAGCCCTCTGTTGAAGCACGTTGCAACTCTACGTGAAGTAGCACAACAAAAAAATGCTTTGTTGTCGGAATCCAGGTCTGAGATCGCGTTGTCTATTGAGTTCATTTTCACAGAATCATGTTTGATGTTCCATTTTCTAACATGCTAATTGCTTCCATGTTGTGCGGAAGCTTCAAATATGAAACCAAAGCTAATACGGCAAAATATTACAAGACAAATAATCCAAAAAGACACAAGGATTTATACTGGTTCGGCGTAAGCCTACATCCAGTTTCGAGACGGAGAGGAAATTCCACTAATATCAAAAGGAGATTACAAATAGAGTTTTAACTCTCAAACCCAAATCCCACATACAACCAATAGCTCTCACTCTCTCAAAGAAACAAATGGAGAAGAAGAAACACATATCAAAATCCTTCTCTCCCAAAAGCTACACAAGTAGCACCAACATCTTTGATTGAGTGATTACTAACAAAATGGGATTATTACAAATGGTGGGAAGTAGCAGCTCATATTCAAATGGGAAAGCCGAATGCTCTCCCTGGTTTCTCTCATCTGCCGCTCCCCCCACAACCAAAGGCATAACCAAATGCCTTAATATAAACAAAAGGCCCCGCCTTCTCTCTCTCCTCTCCTCTCTTTCGGCTGCAAAGGCAACCACCAAAACATAAAGGACCAAAACCAAAGTTTCCTTTTCCCTTTTTTCTTCCCTAAAACAAGGTAAGGTGTTGTACACCTTTTTCATATTTTAATAGCCGAAAGTTATATTGTCTTGTTGTCCACTTGGTCACAAATCCAACAATCTCCACCTTGACCAAGTTCCGAAAGCATCACAGAGAATCGAATCAACAATCACCATAAGCACCCAAAGTACACACTAAAGACAACGGGAACTAAATCAAATTCCCCAAACTTACCAGTGCTCATAACAATTTCCACCTCGACTCAAAATGTACCAAAGCCAACAAAAGTAGACCATTTCTCTACCGTCTTCTCCAAATTTGCAAACCATAAGTGCCTTGATCAAAACAAAAGGTTATTCAAACGAAGAACTGAAATTCTTCAATATCACCAACAAAAGATCAAGTACACCATACCAAAGTTGGACACACAATGAACTCCACCTGCTCACAAACACCATGGTCTTAAACTGCACCAATAGACTCATTCACATAGCATGGCACATTCTCCAAGTCAAAACTGATTACAAATTTGGCAACAAAGTCTCACATACCACATACGAAAATATGCCCTTCACTCAAGTTTACCATCATCACATGAGCACCAACAGGACAACCAAAATTTCAAATTCAAATAATCAGTAGGAGATCCAAAACCATACCTCAACTGGAGTCTTCAAGAAAACTAATTGCAGATGATGGAGACCAACAGACCAAATAGCAGTGGCAAACAAATCCAACCAAATGTCCACAGACCAAAGTGAGAAAGCATATAACTTGCCTTCTACAAGAGGGTTCCACACAAATGTTCTGCAGTGCATGTGGTGTATCCAAAATAGTGTGGTGCCTCACTATCCAAACTTGCAGAACTCAACAAATTTGGCCCTCACAAACTCCTCCAATGTTTCCAGCAACTTGCTCCAAAGTCAACCAATGGGAGTGGAAAAACAACCAAAAATTTCTGCCGTTGAAAAATGCCAAAGAAAAGAAAACTTAGCCTTAGCCTTTTTCCCTTTTCTTCTAGCCAACAACATCATTTGTCATCATGATGTCCTTCTGCCTAAACAAATGCCGAAAGAAAAAAAACAACATTTTCTTTTCAATTTCAACTGCTTCTACCTTTTCTCCTTCCCACTCAACTCGTCGACAACAGCCCACAAACACCTCTGGTGCAGCGATGACCAACGGAGAACCCACCAAAAGCAGTACACTACACCTGCAGCTGTCGAACACCAACACTTCAACAACATCGACGACAACATTGCAGCAGACACGCTGTTTCTGAAACCATTATCCAATCTGCGAGCTCAGTGACTGCAACATAGTCCCTTACTATCTTTCTTCAACGCCACGCATTTTGCAGCCAGCATCTCCAATTGACCAAATGCCAAAGTCATTCCTCCTGTCGAATTTTTTTCAAAAAACATATTTCACCGTCATTCGAAGATTTCATAGACATACTAGTACAAAGCCTCCGAGTCGAAACCCAGAGCTCTGATACCACTTGTTGTGCGGAAGCTTCAAATATGAAACCAAAGCTAATACGGCAAAATATTACAAGACAAATAATCCAAAAAGACACAAGGATTTATACTGGTTCGGCGTAAGCCTACATCCAGTTTCGAGACGGAGAGGAAATTCCACTAATATCAAAAGGAGATTACAAATAGAGTTTTAACTCTCAAACCCAAATCCCACATACAACCAATAGCTCTCACTCTCTCAAAGAAACAAATGGAGAAGAAGAAACACATCTCAAAATCCTTCTCTCCCAAAAGCTACACAAGTAGCACCAACATCTTTGATTGAGTGATTACTAACAAAATGGGATTATTACAAATGGTGGGAAGTAGCAGCTCATATTCAAATGGGAAAGCCGAATGCTCTCCCTGGTTTCTCTCATCTGCCGCTCCCCCCACAACCAAAGGCATAACCAAATGCCTTAATATAAACAAAAGGCCCCGCCTTCTCTCTCTCCTCTCCTCTCTTTCGGCTGCAAAGGCAACCACCAAAACATAAAGGACCAAAACCAAAGTTTCCTTTTCCCTTTTTTCTTCCCTAAAACAAGGTAAGGTGTTGTACACCTTTTTCATATTTTAATAGCCGAAAGTTATATTGTCTTGTTGTCCACTTGGTCACAAATCCAACATTCCAATGTTCTTGTGGGCGAGCATTCATCTGTCTTTGGAAGTAAAGGACGAGAAAGCGAGGAAGAAGATGACACCAGGGACGACGAAGGCATTGCTGCCTTTAGTTCGTCCTGGTTACCAGGAAAGGATTCCAAGTATGGTCACTCTCTCTCTCTAGATTTCTATACAATTTTACTTTTGCTATTTGTGTTGTACCATTATTATTGGTTTTTCAGAGCTGAACCACCCAAAGATGTGAAAAGGAAGAAAAGCAAGCGAAAGACTGAGTGCCAGGACCAAGTAGCCATGGATGAAGATATTGTTCAGGAGTTGGTACTCAGCTCTGACGAAGAAGACGGGTCTTTAGCGGACACCTCTTCAGCTGACGAAGATGGAGTGGAGAAACCAGCTCCTTCGAAGCAGGAAAGCAAGAAGCCGAAACGCTCTACTAGTAAATAAAAAAAGAATGCAAAACCTCAAGCAAAAAGATCAAGGAAGAGAAAGACGGCTGACCGAAGAGACCCAAGTTTCTCGTGCGCCCGTCCGATAGTCTCCATTGTTTTGTCAAAGCTGTTTTGTTGTACGTACTTGGAAGTTATGCATGAAGTTCCTGTTTGATTAATGTGAAGAGATTAATTTGAATTTTTTTTTTTCCCTCTTGTAAAAGTATAATTTCAAGTAAGCATAATGCTAAATAGATCAAATTTGTATAATAAATTTACAAACTGTTATCAATGAGATATAAGCATGTTAATTTAAAGCGGGACCCACAAAGTTTATAAATACACACCTTTGACGGATATATATTATATACCTCAATAACCAGAGACTACATACATATACACGCACACATACACCAGACACACATTTATAAATTTTCTATATAATCTCTCGGAAAAAAGCAAAAAAAAAAAAAAAAAACAAAAAAAGATAGATGCTTATCCTTTTCTGAAATATAATTTAAAGTGGGACCCACAAAGTTTATAAATACACACCCTTGATGGTACGGAAGGGATCGTAAGGAACCTGCAACCATGTCTGTTACGTACATCGTGCGGTTATAAATTATTTAAAATTTAAAATTTAAAATTCAAATATAAATAGTACTTAAAGAAAACTTACCGCACGATATATGATAAACAGACACGTCGGATCATTTTCCTATATTATATACCTCAATAACTAGAGACTACATACATATACACACACATACACCAGAAACACATTTATAACTTTTCCATATAATCTCTTGGAAAAAAAAAAAAAAAAAAAGGTAAAAAGATAGATGCTTATCCTTCTCTGAAATTTCGTCTCACTTTAATTAACCAAAAAAAGAAGATGCTTTCTCCAAAGCACAATCACCAATTCTCACTTTATGCTTAACGTGTGTGGTCAGGTCGACTGAAAATTATTCTCCCCACTGACGAAGTAAAGTTAACCTATATAATCTAAACAGGCTTTTGCTATTTCCTCACCTGAAAATTTCAAACGGAATTTCTAGTTTCCAGCTTCCTTTTGCAAGCAAGAGAAAATGGCTTTGGTTGGACAGGCTTTGCTCTCCGGTTCGATCCAGGTGCTGTGCGAAAAGATTGCTTCGAGAGAGTTCGTGGACTTCTTCCGGGCAAGAAGACTCAATCATTCGCTCATGGACAAACTGAAGGTGACATTGAATACACTTCATGCAGTGCTCAACGACGCAGAGGAGAAGCAGATTGTCAACCTTGCAGTCGGGGTGTGGCTTAACGATCTCAAAGATGCTGTGTTCTATGCGGAGGACTTGGTGGATGAGATCGATTCTGAAGCTTTGCGTCACGAGGTGAAAGATCAGACTAAGCAAACCCAGGTGTGCAACTTCCTTTCTACCTCTCGTAATCCTTTTAATTATAAAGGCATGAATGGTAGGATAAAGGAGTTATTTGAGAGGTTAGAACGCCTTGCAGAACAGCGAAATCGCCTTGGTCTTAGTGAAGGTATTGGGCGCAATGTTTCACAAAGAACTCCCACAACTTCTGTAGTTGAGGAAGGATTCTGTCCTTATGGTAGGGATAAGGATAAAGAAAATATAAAAAAACTACTGCTGGTATCTGACAATGGAAGTAGCAGTAATTTTTCTGTAGTCCCTATAGTCGGAATGGGCGGGGTTGGTAAGACAACCCTTGCTCAACTCCTTTACAATGATGAACAAGTTAAAGAGCATTTTGACATTCATGCTTGGGTTTGTGTTTCCGAACAGTACGATGCTTTGAGGGTGATTAAGACCCTTATTGAGCAAATCACTGAGAAATCTTGTGATATCTCAGATATGAATTCCCTTGAAATTCGACCAAGGGAACAAGTAAGGAGGGAACAAGTGAGGGACGTCTCAGATATGATTCCCTTGAAATTCGACTAAGGGAGCAAGTAAGGGGAAAGCCATTTTTATTTGTCCTGGATGACCTTTGGAATGAGAGCTATGATGACTGGGATCGTCTACGAACTCTTTTCACTTATGGGGCGAAGGGAAGCAAGGTCATTGTAACAACAAGGAGCAGACGTGTTGCATCCACCGTGCGCAATACTATTCCAATTCATGACTTGGAAAAATTGTCGGACGATGATTGTTGGTTGTTACTGGCAAAACATGCATTTAGAAATGAAAACTCTAGTGCACATCCAGACTTGGAAGAAGTTGGTAAGAAAATTGCACGTAAGTGCAACGGTTTGCCTTTAGCTTCAAAAACACTAGGGGGTCTCTTAGGTTGCAACCTAGACTACAAGGAATGGAATTACATATTGGATAGCAATCTTTGGGATCTTCGACACCCTAATAGTGTTCTTCCTTCTCTAAGATTGAGTTACCATTACCTTCCAAGTTACTTGAAACGATGCTTTGCTTATTGCTCAATTTTTCCAAAGGGCTATGAATTGGAAAAGGAAACTGTAATTCTACTATGGGTGGCAGAAGGTTTAATTCCACAATCAGATAGTGGGAATACAATGGAGGAGGTTGGTGAAGGATACTTTGACGAACTGTTATCGCGATCATTGTTTCAAAGACCAAGATTGGATCAACCAAGATTCACTATGCATGATCTCATCAATGACTTGGCTAAGTTTGTGTCTGGAGAGTTTTGTTTTAGGTTGGATCTGGAACTTTCACATGAAGCTCGTAAAAGAGTTCGCCACTTCTCGTATGTGAGAGGAAAGTTTGATACATCTTCAAAATTTCAGCCATTAGATGGAGTGAAGTATTTGCACACATTCTTTCCATTGTCTTTAACACCATATGACACAAGGGAAGGCGAAGTATATGTAAGCAATAAGGTTCAAGATGATTTTCTGCCAACACAAAAATATTTACGGGTAATATCATTGTCAAGATATGGAAATATCACTCACTTACCTGATTCCATTGGTAATCACATACACTTGCGCTACATTGATCTCTCTTATACGACAATTAAAAGGTTACCAGATTCAGTGTGTACCCTCTACAATTTACAAACTCTGTTGTTGTTAGGTTGTTATTCTCTTGTTAAACTGCCTGCAGACATGAGGAAATTAATTCATTTGCGTCATCTTGATATCGACAGAACTGGCATAAAAAAAATGCCCGTGCATATGGGTAGATTAAAAAGCTTGAGAACACTGACAGCTTTTGTGTTGGGGAAATCTACTGGGTCAAGCATTGCAGAACTGAGGGAGTTGTCGCACCTTCGAGGGAAAATTTCTATCTTGAATCTGGAAAATGTAGTCAGAGCTATTGATGCCTTGCTGAAGGATAAGAATGATCTCAATGAGGTAGAGTTGCAATGGGGTTATAAGGTTTTGCATGATTCCGTAAAAGAGAGACAGGTACTTGAAGGACTACAACCTTCGGTAAATTTGGTGAAACTAACCATCAGATTTTATGGTGGAACCAGTTTCCCGAATTGGGTGGGAGACTCGTCCTTCCCCAACCTACAAGTGATGCGTCTCAGCGGTTGTAGTAATTGCAGTTCACTGCCACCAGTTGGTCGGCTACCTGCTCTCAAAGAGCTCTACGTAGAAGGGATGGAATTTGTTACGAGTGTTGGTGTTGAATTCTATGGGGGAAATCAACCATTTCAATCTTTAGAGAAGCTACAGTTTTGGAATATGCCAAAGTGGGAGGAATGGCTGCCGAGTCCAAGTGGAGGTGAAAGTCCAGACTTTCCTCGTCTTAAGGAGCTGATTTTCGACCAATGTCCGAAGCTGAGAGGAAGCTTGCCCACTCATCTTCCTTCCCTGGAGATAATTAGGGTCCGTGGATGTGAGGTACTACATTTGCCGATGGGGACGCTGCCGTGGCTTCAGATGCTTGAAACTAATTTTAATGGCGGGACAGAGTGGTTGTTGGAAATGGGGCACAACACTAATCGTCTGCAACATTTGACTCTTTCATTTTGTTCCTCACGCTTGTCGTTCCCAACAAATGGTCTGCCCACCACGCTGACGTCACTCCGAATTCAAGGATGCAGGAAATTAGAATTCCTATCACGTGAGATGATGGCCAAATTGACTTCCCTTCAGTCTTTGGTTCTAACGGAGAGCTGTGATTCTCTGAGGTCGTTCCCTTTGGGCATTTTCCCCAACCTTTCATCTCTTACTATAATTCATTGTGAGAATCTGGAATCCCTTTCCGTTGAAGGAGGAGCAGATGAAAATCTCAGCCATCTCAACTCCCTGTTTATTTTGTACTGTCCAAATCTTGTCTCTTTTCCCGACGGGGGATTGCCCACTCCCAACCTCACTTCCTTTGAAGTCTGTGGAAGCGTGAATTTGAAGTTGTTGCCGGACCGAATGCACACCCTCACCGCCCTTCAAGAATTAACGATAGAAAGTCTTCCAAATGTGGTGTCATTTGCACAAGGGGGTTTGCCTCCCAACCTACAATCATTATCTATCTGTGACTGTGAGAGACTGAGGCCTTCAGTGGAATGGGGATTGCAAGGGCTTGTCTCTCTTCGACAATTTTGGATCGAAGCAAGCAAGGATCTGCTGGAGACGTTGCTCAATGAACAGCTGCTCCCTGCCACTCTTCACACTCTCTGGATCTCTTGGGTATGGGATCTGAAATCTTTGAACGGAAAGGGACTTGAGCACCTCACTTCTCTTCAACACCTAGACATTGCATGGTGCGAGAGTCTCAAATTCCTGCCAAAAGAGGGTTTTCCGGCATCTCTTTCTTGTCTGAGGATCTGGAATTGTCCTTCTCTGAAGAAGAGGTATCTGAAGAAGAGGTATGAGAAGGTAGCTGGCATTCCTTGCATGGTGATAGATGGAGAAGTCAACATCTTGTGAGCTTTCATTTCACTCTCTCCAACTCTCAACTCTCAACTCTCAAGACAAAAGCCAGGTACTATTTTATTTATTATTAAATTGATTGTCCTCAGCAATATTCCTTCTTAAATTAAAGTTTCAGAGTCTAATCCCGATGAAATTACAGGAGAGTGCGAGGGGAGTGAATTATTTCTAGTCTGATACTGTGGAACTACTTGGGGGTCGATATATATGATTCTCCTGCATGACAAGAGGTAAAACCCTGGATGGTGCTTTTCTCATACTTGTCTCGTTTGCGACATAACTCTGATCTTCTGCTTGTGCGATGGGACAAACAGGTATATCGGATTATCAAATGGTGCTCTGATTTTCTGGACTGTCAAGTTTGAAATCTATTGCATGGAAATGGACTTACAACACCTCCCACTCTCGCAATTCCTGACGGGACAGGGACCTCTAGACCTCAGCACTCGTCAACAGCTATATAAAGATTGAATGTATCTGGGACTTCGTCGGTCCAGAGAGAAAACTATTGAACTGCAAAGATAGGATTATCGGCGGGAAAATGATGTTGGCTTACACCAAACACTCAGGTACGTACTTATATACTGCTGTGGTTTCCATATGGCGGAATGCTTACTCATCTTTCAACGCATCTGTCATTTTGTGGTAGGTGCATATGTATATGTTTCTCTGCAAACACAATGGTTGGAGAGAGCATGGCTTATTGGCACCGCTTGCTAGAATGCCAGTGTACTAGACTTGGTGGCTGGCTGCTGCGTCTACAGATTTCAGTGTTAGTAGTTGAACACTTTGAGTGTAATTTGTTCTTCCTTTCGGTAACAATGTAATTCAACTATGCAATCAGTCAGGACAACACTATGGGACTGACGTATTTGTCGGCTTTATTGATGCAGATGGCAACTCTGGGATTGTAACGATAGGATTATCTATAGCCAACGATTTAAAACATGTATCAATTAGTTGTCTTTGAATGGTGCTAGCTCCAGCTATCTGGCATGAATATAATTCTCCTTTAATCAGAGAGGTGACTCCTAGAGTGATTTTGTTTCTAATGCTTTTATAGTTTGAACATGAGAAGCATGCCTTTTCATCTTAATTTCCTATGAGTCCTTGATGCGTAGCGTGACTCTCGCAATCTGAAAAATAACGAAGTCTTTCTGGAATTAGGCTGAGAATGTGGATCACTTCAGAACTCTAGGAGAATGGGCGTTTTAGGGCGGGATCTATCATCTTCAAATGGGTGCAGATATGCTTTTGCACGGACAAAGTGGTTGAACAGCTCGCTTGATCCTTGTAGCACTATTCTCATGCTTGCGTTTGTTGGTATTCCAGTAAATAATATTACTAGAATAGTGGTTGGCTGGTGTGCTACTGATTTCACAAGAATGATAATTCTTACGTTGAGCACTGCAGATGAGCTGTAATTGAGCTTTCCACCACTCTCTTTTGTTTTAAGTTCTATTTGCTTGTTTTCTAAGATAAATGTATCCATAATAATTTCTTCATCTTTGAATTTAGCAGTATCTTGTTAAGCTTAGGTATGAAAAAGGGAAGCAGTTGAGTTGGCATCCTATTGAAATGGATATGAGAGAAAATGTGCTTTTTGCTGTTCGATTCAGAATTAAACGGTATAAAACGTGTGAAGGTAAAGCTCTGCGTTCTTTTCCTACATTTTCATCAAAACTCTGCATCCACATAATCTCCCTATAGAAAAATATATTCCACATAAGTCAAAGAATAATATATACCACATACTTTAAATGAAATTGTGCCTATTGTTGCCGCTTATGAACATCTTATCTCCTGGAAGTGATCCAAGGGAACTGAGAGGTTATAGCATTCTTCTCACCATTGTGGATTTCATGAGCAATCAAGAGTATTCAAAGTTGCTTCTGGACTCAGAGGTTTGTTTTCTATATATTAGTGTGTGTGATGTTGTGTGACTCGAATAGCAAGTTGATAAACGAAGAAAAGAAAATTATATGAACATTGCAGGTTCACTCACTATATATGTAGGTGATCTTTTGATTCGTTAACATATCTGGCATTCGTTGCATAAAGATAGATGATGAAGTCACCATCCTATGAGCTTTCACTTCACCTCTTCAACTCTCAACTCTCAAGATGAAGCCAGGTAATTTTTTATTTATTATTATATTGATTGTCCTCAGCAATATTCCTACTTAAATTCAAGTTTCAGAGTCTAATTCCAATGAAATTACAGTAGAATGCGAGGAGACTGACTTCTTTGTAGGCTGATACTGTGGAACTACTTGGGGTGGATGTACATGATTCTCGTGCATGAGAAGAGGGTTTTTCATACTTCTCTCATTTGCGCACAACAGTTGAATAGTGCCTCATGGCAGTGCTTTGCTTGAATGCCAGTAAGTATGTTGCGTCACTAGATAAAGAGGCTGGTTGTTGTGCTATGGATTTCACCGGTTGAACATTGCAGATCAGATGTAAATTGTAATTTACTTTCTCTCACTTTTTCTCTCTTTGGTTTGCCTTTTCTCTATTGCAGTTATATTAGGGATCAGTCTTTTTCTTTAACGGTTCATTTCAATTATATGCTAAGTCAAGAAAATGTGAAGAGACTAACAGATATATCGGTTTCATTGATGCATTGAGCAAACAGCCTAAACCTGTAAAGATCGGATTATCAAATGGAGCTCTACTGGACTATCAAGTTTGAAATTTTGGATGGAAATGAACGTTCAAAACCTCCTGGACTCTCAACTCTATTAAGAGAGCACAGCTTATTGGCACTGCATGCTAGAATGCCAGTAGTACTAGACTCGGTGGCTGGCTGCTGCGCCTACAGATTTCAGTGTAAGCAGTTGAACACTTGAGTGTAATCTGTTCTTCCTTTATGTATCAATGTAATTCAACTAAGGTACTATATCCTTGAAATATGAATGTTTACCTTTTGTTTAGTTATTGGATTGTCTTTTGTAGGCTAACTTGCATCTTTGTGGAACTTAAGAATGATTGGAAAGGCTAATGACACTAGCTACCCCACAGAGAGAGCTTAACCTCTATGAATTATTTGTGGCAAGAGCGGCTAGATAAACTGCCTGTAAAAGTTTTTTTGAAGTCATTGACTACATTGAAGAAAAAAAAAAAGTTTTCTTGGTACCATTGAATAACAATGTTAGCTTTTCCTCCATGTTTCAAATTCTAGTTTCTCATTTTCTTTTTTTTAATTCTGGAAATTGAATTTAGTTTAAGACATGCCAGATGCCCTATATATCTAGCATTTCACTTGTGTTGCTTTGCCTTTTGTAGAAAGCATTCCGAAAGGTTTATGAGTGGAAGTTCATGAACTGTCTTGAGCTCTGGACTGGAGCTGTCTCTTCCTATGGCACAGGAGCTGAAATAATTAATGGGGTAGCCCATCTAGTTCCAACTGCTAGATACTTTCCCTTCAGATTGAGGTGTATTAGAACGCTTAATCACAGTGCTGCTTTGACAGGTACTTTCACTCCGGTTTCTATGCTGCTTTTGGACATGCTTGAGATGAAAGAGTTGAACAGACCCACCAATGGTGGTGTTGGCAAAGCTATTGATTTGCGCACTGTTCTGAAGGTGTATTTTAGTGTGGACATTCTTCTCTTCTTCAAATTCAATACTACATTGTTATTGTTTTTGGGAGTTTGAGGGGAATGTGTGTTTTCTATTGTAGACGAGCTTGCTGAACATTTAGCTCACTGGAGCTATTCTGTCGCTTTCCCCGAGTTGTCTTTTATTCAACAAGGTTTAGAGGTTTCGGAAATCAACGAGGGAGCTTATTTGTCAGGTATGTGGTTAGAGTGGAAGAGTCTAGTGACCACATGTGCTCTGCTCCCATGCCCGAGCTTGAGATGTGTGGACTATCGATTTGTTGAAGAAGTTTTTTATTTTACTGTTTCATCTGTTAATAATTACGTCTTTTAAATGTTGGAAAACCTTGTTGTACATAGCTAATGTTTCAGCTCTTCCATATCCCAGATCGAGGCTAATTGTCAGTTTACAAATGAAAGGCGTATGTCAATTTCTTTTCTCCCAAATGATCCTGCAGCTGCGTATTTGCTTGAGGTCTGATGTCTGCACTTCCGTAATTTTTTTCTTTCTCTTATGTGATTTTGCCATCAATGTATGATATGTATTACCAGCCAATAACCACAAATGCCTATTTCTTGGATCTTTCATGATTGAATTATCAAACTTTGTTTTAATCTGAAATATCTTTAACGATTTGCCTTCATTTCGTTTTATTTTGATATCATCTTGGAGAAACTGAAGTCCTTATATGTTGTTATAGGATGAGAAAAAGTCAGGGGCATGCCCTCTGTCGAAGTACGTTGCAACTCTACATGAAGTAGCACAACAAAGAAATGCTTCGTTGTCGGAATCCAGGTCTGAGATCGCATTGTCTATTGAGTTCATTTTCACAGAATCATGTTTGATGTTCCATTTTCTAACATGCTAATTGCTTCCAGTGTTCTAGTGGGCGAGCATTCATCTGTCTTTGGAAGTAAAGGACGAGAAAGCGACGAAGAAGATGACACCAAGGACGACGAAGGCATTGCTGCCTTTAGGTCGCCCTGGTTACCAGGAAAGGATTCCAAGTGTGGTCACTCTCTCTCTTTCTAGATTTCTATACAATTTTACTTTTGGTATTTGTGTTGTAACATTATTATTGGTTTTTCAGAGCTGAACCACCCAAAGATGTGAAAAAGAAGAAAAGGAAGCGAAAGACTGAGTGCCAGGACCAAGTAGCCATGGATGAAGATATTGTTCAGGAGTTGGTACTCAGTTCTGATGAAGAAGACAGGTCTTTAGCGACACCTCTTCGGCTGATGAAGATGGAGTGGAGAAACCAGCTCCTTCGAAGCTGGAAAGCAAGAAGCCGAAACGCTCTACAAGTATATAAAAAAAGAATGCAAAACCTCAAGCAAAAGGTCAAGGAAGAGAAAGACGGCTAACCGAAGAGACCCAAGTTTCTCGTGCGCCCGTCCGATAGTCTCCATTGTTTTGTTGTACGTACTTGGAAGTTATGCATGAAGTTCCTGTTTGATCAATGTGAAGAGATTAATTTGAATTTTTTTTCCCTCTTATAAAAGTATAATTTCAAGAAAGGGTAATGCTAGGAAAACCAAATTTGTATAATAAATTTACAAACTGTTATTAATGAAATATAAGTATGTTAATTTAAAGTGGGACCTACAAAGTTTATAAATACACACATACACACTACAACAAAATTGAGCTTTGGGTACAAAAATGAGCTTGTGGTAAATAATGGTATGGAGCTGTTTATTACTGTGCAATATTTTAGCTTGAAAATAAGTTAGCAATAATGATGTTCAAATTCGTTTTTCACGAGAGCCGAACCTCATATCTCTCACTTACAAGTAAAGAAGCATATCACTATACCGTAGTACTAAGTGGTGTGTTTTAGATTTACAGTGAATCATTTCCAGCTGCAATGAATTTATGTTAGATTTGTATATTTTTTAACAATTTTTTAGATTGTTATCTTCATGCAGGTTAGTTTTTTTTTATACTTGTGATATGGTTTTTGGTTTTATAGTAAGGGTTAATTTTTTTATTGTATTAAAAGTCATTCATGCAGTGACACATAACCAACAATTGTGCCATTAGCGTCCGTGCAAAAGTTAGTGGAAAAATGAGTTAATAATTATAAATTTCTTTTTATGACACAAATGTTAGAAATTGTGTCCATTAAATATTACTGAATAATGAATCAACCTACTTCCCTTTCGATCTTCAGATAGACAATATATTTTAATAATTATAAAATCATTTTTATGACACTGATATTAGAAATTGTGTCTAGTAAATATTAATAAAGAATATGTTGGCACAATTATGATTTGTGCCTGTATTCTAATATAAAACCTCCACACTCCTTTACTAATTTGTCTATGGAAAATAGAAGGTTGCTTCATACACTTGTGTGTTTCTTTAAATTTGATCAAGTTCTACATCATTCAGAGGCAACGTTGTGGAGTTAGAATTGGAGATATTTGTTAGATTCTTATTTTTTTCAACTTCTTTTTAGATTGTTATCTTCCTGCAGGTTTGTTTTGGATACTTGATGATATGTTTTTGGCTTTATCGTAAGTGTTTATTTTTTTACTGCATTAAAAGTCCTTCATGCAGTGAAGGACTTTTTCTATCTTCAGTTTGCCTTATCTATATTGCATTTATATATCAGTCTTTTTCTTTGACAGTTCAATTCTACTATATGCTAAGTCAGAACAATGTGATGGTAGTAGCAGGTATATCAGTTTCATTGATGCAGCGAGCAAACAGAGTAAACCTGTAAAAATAGGATTATTAAATGGTGCTCTGGTTTTCTGTCAAGTTGGAAATCTTTGGACAGAAATGGACATTCAACAGGTACCTGCAGACCTCAGTTCTCGTCAACATCTATATAAAGATTGAATGTATGTGGGACGTCATCGGCCCAGAGAGATAACTATTGAACAGTAAAGATAGGATTATCAGAGGGCAAACGATGTTAGCTTACATCAACTACTCAGGTACTTATGTATATATATGACACCACTTGCCTTCAATTTTGTTAAATTACTTTTTAGCAGTATAATTCAACTGCGCTACCCTTTCTTCTTTCTCTTATTTTTCATTTCTCCCCTAACATTTACATGTTTCTTGAAATTTCAGGACAGTATCATCAAATATAATAGCAACCGGTTTTAGCTTACATATCAATTACTAGTTGTTGATTGGTGCGGCGGCAATCTCTCGCATATACGATTCATCCTGCATGGGCTCGTTGATGATGTTTTTGTTTCTCCGATGTACTATTGGCACCGCTTTCTAGAATGCCAGTGTTACTCGACTCAGTGGCTGTGAAAGTCCTAGGATGGGTACTAACTTAACTAGAATTATAAATAAATTTCAACTTAAAACTAGTTCAAATTGTGATTTATGTTAATCAGTTATGCAGCTTTAATCCTACACAAAATATCCAGCATAAATATAAAGAGTACACACATGATGTAGGATTTTACGAGGCAAAACCCACCACTGGGAAAATCCTCGGGCTACCAAGCCAGGAAGCACTAAGAAAGAAGGAAAACATAAAGACTTACAAAAAACTCATCAACCAGATACACATACCAATTGGCAGCTTTGTATTCGCGCTTTGCTACTCGATCTTTCTTCAGTCTTCGAGTTGGAGTGGCACGACACTAACACAATCGTCAATCACTTTTTCCTCGAACTTTGCAAGATACTAACTCAATCATGCAGAATGTTTATATGATGAAGTGTTTGATTGAAAAATCAATCAATTACGAAAATCACAAGACACATTTTCATAATTGACATTCAATAAAAAACCAAATGAAAATCCGCATGAAAAGAAATATTTTCTCGTTAAAAACACATGCTATTCAAACCACAAGATGGCAGCCACTGAAAAGTTAATTTAAGATTAATGCACTGAAAGTAATGTTTTCTCTTTTAAAACCCAAAGTTGCTGCCAATCTATGTTCCCAGAAAAAAACATGCATATGCGGCACCTTTAAAACAATTTCAAAGCTTCCTTATAAATCCTCAATGCACGGGAACCAATTTAAACTGATAAGATTTCATAACTAAAACCGGTTTTAGCTAAATTGACAATCCTTTTAAAACCACAACTCCTAGACACACACGGCAACAACTTTTTCTTTTTAAAACAATGACAACCATGCAATCCATTTAGTTGGATGCAATCAGATAAGTCTTTTGAAAATCCAATCAATTTATCTTGAAAGTAGTTTTAATAAAAGACCTATCTCAATTACAATATCATGAGATATAGATGAATGTAATTGGATGCATGCATGCAAACATACATGAATGTGTATCTTGTTCACGTAACATTTTCTCATCAAAAGAGTAAGAGACCTCCTAGACTTAAACAATTACAATTGAAAATATATAACAAGTCTAAGCTATTACAGACTCATGCATTTTGTCAAGAATTGCCAATATTGGTCTAACAGGCTGTCTGCTGCCTCGCCTACAGATTTCGGTGTAAGCAGCTGAACACTTGAGTGTAACTTATTCTGCCTTTCTGTAACAGTATAATTCAACTATGCTATCAGTCAGGACAACACAATGGGACTACATATATGTCGGCTTTATTGATGCAGATGGCAACTCCGGAATGGTAAAGAAAGGATCATCTACTGCCAACAATTTAAACATGCATCAATTAATTGGCCTTGAATGGTGCTACTCCAGCTATCTGGCATGAATATAATTCTCCTTTAATCGGAAAGGTAACCCCTGGAACGATGTTTTTTTCTTTTCCCTTTCTAAATACTGGTTACAGTTTGACTAAGAGAGGCATGCCTTTCCATCTTCTCTTGATGTCACTCTCATCGTCACATGGGTGCAGATTTGTACAAACAAAGTGGTTGAACAGCGCGCTTGATCCTTGTAGCACTGTCATCATGCTTGCGTCTGTTGATATTCCAGTAAATGAGCTTTCCACTTTTTTTTTTTGTTTTAAGTTCCATTTGCTTGTTTTAAAGATAAATTTATCAACAATAATTTCTTCATCTTTGAATTTAGGAGTATCTTGTTAGGCTGAGGTATGAAAAAGGAAAGCATTTGAGTTGGCATCCTATTGAAATGGATTTGAGAGATAATATGGTTTTCACATTAGGATTTAGAGAAACGGTAAAAAGCGTGTGAAGGTAAAGCTCTGGGTTCTTTTCCTACATTTTCATCAAAACTCAGAATCCGCATACTCTCCTTAAAGAAAAATATATACCACATACTTTAAATGAAATTGTTCCTATTATTGCTGCATATGAACATGTTTTCTTCCGGAAGTGATCTAAAGGAACCGAGAGGTTATAGCATTCTTCTCACCATTGTGGATTTCATGAGCAATCAAGAGAATATTCAAAGTTGCATTTGGACTCAGAGGTTTGTTTTCTATATATTAGCGTGTGTGATGTCTTGTGATGTCGTGTGACTCGCATAGCAAGCTAACAAACGAAGAAAAAAGTTATTTAAACATTGCAGGTTCACTCACTATATAGGTAGGCGATTGTTTGATTCGTTAACCGCTCTAGAGGAAGATGCCGCGGAGAAATAGACGATGCCTCGCCTTAACCCAGTTTGATGGGAAAGTTGGGAAAGTTGGAGGCGAGGCATGAAAGATGACCAAGTATATGTTGACATCACATCACATGTCGATCTAGGATGTTTGTTGGGATTGATGCGTGACAGTTGTAGGCCAATGTAAGAGATATTATTGTAGGCAAATTCCAAATTGTATGTCGACAATGAGATTCTCTAATTTTTAGATCTTCACATTTATGCAAAAAACCACTCAAATTTCAAATCATATAACCACTCAATTAAGTTGGTTGTCATTAGGGCTTTCTTCAAATATCTTGCTCGTTTATTTTCTTCACTATAATTAAACGTGTTAATGATTTTCAATATGTATATATATATTTTTTTTTTTGGAAAAGATGATCTTTGAACAATGTAGTAAATGACAAATGATTTGAATAATTAAAATAAAATTCAAAGTGGGACCCACAAGGTGTCTACACACCTTTTAAGGAAGGATTTGAATTCCATCCAGATCCAAATGGTGAGGATTCTAGGAAAATAATCTTCACCGAATTCTTTCCTCCTAATCCATCAAATCATGGAATTCGTACCGTTGAAATTTGATCCAACGGCTACAAACAGAGGCACACTTTAAAAGTTATAGTAACTTTAACCGTTGAATCAAATTTTAATGGCACAAATTTTCTAATTTAGTGGATTAGAAGGAAGGGATCCAGACATGATCCATTTTTGGGATTCTAGGGATCTTTATATCTTAGTCGTTCATCGTATATCGTGCAATTAGAAATCATTTCAATTTTTTATTTAAAATTAAACACAAATAATATATGATGAAAACTAGTTATACGATATATGACGAACGTCTAAATTACAAGGATTCTTAAAATTTTCACAAAAAGTAACCGAAAAGGATCCCATCCTTTGAGGGATATATACACACACCCACACATCACAAACTAGACACACACAAGTGCTTAATACTCGCGCGTTGCCGCGGGTTTGAAGTTAAGATAAGATGTTAAAAATGAAAAAATTTCGGTTACAAAATAGGAACAACGATAACAATAAATTTGGAAAAACGTTAACCGGAAAAGGTTAAATTTATATAATATAAAGATACAAATTATAGTTATCCATTATATTGTAGCAGTTGTATGTAGTTTTGGACCAGGAGGATTACATTCAGTTATAAAAAATAGAAATTCCTGGTATAAAGATACAAAAAACATTATAATAATTGAATTTCTTCTAATAACCCTATCTAATATACGGTGTTCTAGCTTTTGCATACAAAAAATGAGAAGTTCTAGCTGTGTGGCTTTGCAAAAAGTAGAGCAAAACCAAAAAATATAACAACTTGAAAGCATACTAACCTAATCGTTGTTTCCAGTTGGCTGTGTGGTTTTACAAAAAGCAGAGCAAAACCAAAAAAATAAAATAACCAAAGGCAAGGTGTAAGACAGCGGGGCTTCTCACAATTTTTAATATTTGGTTTCCATGCATTCAAAATTTTTTATAATTTTTTATTGTGTTATGTGCCACAAACCTGGATTAACTCATATTTTTAAATATTTGTTGTCAGTTTTTTTTTTATTATTTTATCTTTCTTTATGCCCACACTCTGCATTCAAATGTTTTTATAATATTTTATTGTGTTATGTGTCTCAAACCGTGTTCCAAGCCACCAACTGCAAGAGACTCGGCGGGGAAGACAAAAAGCTCAGCAAAATGAAAAAAATAAAATAATCAAAAGGTAAAGCAGGGGATGGTTTCTCATGATTTTTAATAATTATTTTGTCCATGCATTTAATATTCTTATAATTTTTTATTATGTTGTGCGTCACAAAACATGTGGCTTGATTTAAGTCATATTTTTTAAATAATTTTTTGTCAGTTTTTTAATTAATTATTTTATTTTTCTTTGTGCCACAACTCGACGATCATACACATGCAACCTGGGAGGACAAAGGATGATCAACACGTGGCAATCATGGACAATACATGTATTTTATTGTGTGAAGCAGGCAGCAAAACTGTAATGGACAGAAAAATTCAGGAGTATTTTCGTTCTTTTATTATTGCTGAACAGTGCTAAAACTCAAGTATATATAATTTATAAATTTTCTATCACCCCTCGAAAAAACAAAAAAGCAAAAGTTAAAAAGCAAAAGTGAAAAAGATAGATGCTTTCTGTAAAGCACAACCACCAACTGTTGTCCACAACTTTATCATCGCCACGGTCCACTGACGAAGTAAACCTATATAATCTTAAACAGGCTTTTCTACTTCCTCTGTTCCTCACCTGAAAATTTGAAACGGAATTTCCATTTCCCAACTTCCTTTTGCAAAGAAGATCGAAAATGGCTTTGGTTGGAGAGGCTTTGCTCTCTTATATAATGAATCAGCTATAAAATAATATCGAACTCATGATTTAAAGGAGAAAAGAAGAATACTTCCTAATTTCTCGTTGAAATGACTACGCCACCAAACAGCGTAACGTTGCAAGAGACATCTCATGCATGTCTGCAGAATTATTGGTACAAGATCAACGCATTAATGTATAAGGTTTAATCAACGCATTAATGTGTAAGCTTTAATCGGAGAGGTAACCCCTGGAACGATGTTTTTTTTCTTTTCCCTTTCTAAACACTGTTTATAGTTTGAATAAGAGAGGCATGCCTTTTCATCTTCTCTTGATGTCACTCTCATCTTCGCATGGGTGCAGATTTGTACAAAGAAAGTGGCTGAACAGCGCGCTTGATCCTTGTAGCACTGTCATCATGCTTGCGTCTGTTGATATTCCAGTAAATGAGCTTTCCACCACTTTTTTGTTTGAAGTTCCATTTGCTTGTTTTAAAGATAAATTTATCAACAATAATTTCTTCATCTTTGAATTTAGGAGTATCTTGTTAGGCTGAGGTATGAAAAAGGAAAGCATTTGAGTTGGCATCCTATTGAAATGGATTTGAGAGATAATATGGTTTTCACAGTAGGATTTAGAGAAACAGTAAAAAGCATGTGAAGGTAAAGCTATGCGTTCTTTTCCTACATTTTCATCAAAACTCAGAATCCGCATACTCTCCTTAAAGAAAAATATATACCACATACTTTAAATGAAATTGTTCCTATTATTGCTGCATATGAACATGTTTTCTCCCGGAAGTGATCTAAAGGAACCGAGAGGTTATAGCATTCTTCTCACCATTGTGGATTTCATGAGCAATCAAGAGAATATTCAAAGTTGCATTTGGACTCAGAGGTTTGTTTTCTATATATTAGCGTGTGTGATGTCTTGTGATGTCGTGTGACTCGCATAGCAAGCTAACAAACGAAGAAACAAAATTATTTAAACATTCCGTTTCACTCAGTTTGATGGTAAAGTTGGGAAAGTTGGAGGCGAGGCATGAAAGATGATCAGGTATATGTTGATATCAAGTGTCGATCTAGGATGTTTGTTGGGATCAATGCGTGACAGTTGTAGCCCAATTTAAGAGATACTATTGTAGGCCGATTCCAAATTGTATGTCTACAATGAGATCTTCTAATTTTTAGATCTTCACATTTATGCAAAAAATCACTCAAATTTCAAATCATATAACCACTCAATTAAGTTGGTTGTCATTAGAGCTTTCTTCAAATATCTTGCTCGTTTATTTTCTTCACTATAATTAAACGTGTTAATGATTTTCAATATGTATAATTTATTTTTATGTTTTTTTTTGGAAAAATGTAGTAAATGACGAATGATTTGAATAATTAAAATAAAATTCAAAACGGGACCCACAAGGTGTCTACACACCTTTGAGGAAGGATTTGAATTCCAGGATTCTAGGGAAATGAATCTTCGCCGGATTCCTTCCTCCTAATCCATCAAATCATGGAATTCGTTTCGTTAAAATTTGATCTAACGGCTACAAATAGAGGCACACTTTAAAAGTTATAGTAACTTCAACCGTTTAATCAAATTTCAACGGCACAAATTTCCTAATTTAGTGGATTAGGAGGAAGGGATCCGGACATGATCCATTTTTGGGATTCTAGGGATCTTTATATCTTAATCGTTCATCGTATATTGTGTGATTAAAAATTATTTGAATTTTTTTATTTAAAATTAAACACAAATAATATATGATGAAAACTGATTATATAATACACGTTGAACATCCTTTGAGGGATATATTATATGCACAGACCCTCACATCACAAACCAGACATTTATAAATTTTCTATCACCCCTCGAAAAAACCAAGAAGCAAAAGTTAAAAAGATAGATGCTTTCTGTAAAGCACAACAACCAACTCTTGTCCACAACTTTATCATCCCCACGGTCCACCGACGAAGTAAACCTATATAATATTAAACAGGCTTTTCTACTTCCTCTGTTCCTCACCTGAAAATTTGAAACGGAATTTCCATTTCCCAACTTCCTTTTGCAAAGAAGATCGAAAATGGCTTTGGTTGGAGAGGCTCTGCTCTCTTATATAACGAATCAGCTATAAAATAATATCGAACTCATGATTTAAAGGAGAAAAGTCGAACACTTCCTAATTTCTCGTTGAAATGACTACACCACCAAACCGCGTAACGTTGCAAGAGACATCTCATGCATGTCTGCAGAATTATTGGTACAAGATCAACGCATTAATGTGTACGGTTTAATCATTATATGTGCTAGCAGTCATATTTTATTCAACAAAAATTATTTACAGAAGCATGTCAAGCGATATAAATTATCAAAATTGATGTCTTATATGAACGATATTATAATACGTGAATTAGCTGAATGGTGAGCTTTATTCATATTTTCATTCTCTTGGTCAACTTAAAGTTCAGATTCATTCCAAACACGTGAGATGAAAGTACAAAATCTTTACTAGGAACTAAAAATAAAAAAAAGAATAGCTACAACTGTAATTATTGTGGGGATCAAAATCAAAATCAAAATTTCATCAAAGCACCTCCACCAAATACCCCTCCACCAAATACCACTATGTTTGCCGTGTGTGGTCCACTGCATTATTGACCAAAAAATAGCAAGTCGTGTCACTGATCTTGAAGTAAGTTGAGCCATATAATAATCTTAACAGGCTTTGCTGGTTCTTTACTCGAATTTCACAAAGAATTTTCAGTTTTTCAACTTCAAATACTCGATCAAAATTAGTCCTTTTGCCACGAAGAGAAAATGGCTTTGGTTGGAGAGGCTTTGCTCTCCGGTTCGATCCAGATGCTGTGCGAAAAGATTGCTTCGGGAGAGTTCATGGCCTTCTTCCGGGCAAGAAGACTCAACCATTCACTCATGGACAAGCTGAAGGTGACATTGATTACACTTCATGCAGTGCTCAACGACGCAGAGGAGAAGCAGATTGTCAACCTTGCCGTCGGGATGTGGCTTGACGAGCTCAAACATGCTGTGTTCGAAGCCGAGGACTTGGTGGATGAGATCGATACTGAAGCTTTGCGTCACGAGGTGAAAGATCAGACTAAGCAAACCCAGGTGTGCAACTTCCTCTCTACCTCTCGTAATCCTTTTAATTATAAAGGCATGAATGGTAGAATAGAGGAGTTATTTCAGAGGTTAGAACACCTTGCAGAACAGCGAAATCGCCTTGGTCTTAGAGAAGATATTGGGAGCAAGGTTTCACAAAGAACTCCCACAACTTCTGTAGTTGAGGAAGGATTCTGTCCTTATGGTAGGGATAAGGATAAAGAAAAGTTAAAAAAACTACTGCTGCTATCTGACAATGAAAGTAGCAGTAATTTTGCTGTAGCCCCTATAGTCGGAATGGGCGGGGTTGGTAAGACAACCCTTGCTCAACTCCTTTACAATGATGAACAAGTTAAAGAGCATTTTGACATTCATGCTTGGGTTTGTGTTTCCGAACAGTACGATGCTTTGAGGGTGATTAAGACCCTTATTGAGCAAATCACTGAGAAATCTTGTGATATCTCAGATATGAATTCCCTTGAAATTCGACAAGGGGAACAAGTAAGGAGGGAACAAGGGAGGGGCGTCTCAGATATGAATTCCCTTGAAATTCGACTAAGGGAGCAAGTAAGGGGAAAGCCATTTTTATTTGTCCTGGATGACCTTTGGAATGAGAGCTATGATGACTGGGATCGTCTACGAACTCTTTTCACTTATGGGGCGAAGGGAAGCAAGGTCATTGTAACAACAAGGAGCAGACGTGTTGCATCCATCGTGCGCAATACTATTCCAATTCATGACTTGGAAAAATTGTCGGACGATGATTGCTGGTTGTTACTGGCAAAACATGCATTTAGAAATGAAAACTCTAGTGCACATCCAGACTTGGAAGAAGTTGGTAAGAAAATTGCACGTAAGTGCAACGGTTTGCCTTTAGCTTCAAAAACACTAGGGGGTCTCTTAGGTTGCAACCTAGACTACAAGGAATGGAATTACATATTGGATAGCAATCTTTGGGATCTTCGACACACTAATAGTGTTCTTCCTTCTCTAAGATTGAGTTACCATTACCTTCCAAGTTACTTGAAACGATGCTTTGCTTATTGCTCAATTTTTCCAAAGGGCTATGAATTGGAAAAGGAAACTGTAATTCTACTATGGGTGGCAGAAGGTTTAATTCCACAATCAGATGGTGGGAATACAATGGAGGAGGTTGGTGAAGGATACTTTGACGAACTGTTATCGCGATCATTGTTTCAAAGACCAAGATTGGATCAACCAGGATTCACTATGCATGATCTCATCAATGACTTGGCTAAGTTTGTGTCTGGAGAGTTTTGTTTTATGTTGGATCTGGAACATTCACATGAAGCTCGTAATAGAGTTCGCCACTTCTCGTATGTGAGAGGAAAATTTGATACATCTTCAAAATTTCAGCCATTAGATGGAGTGAAGTATTTGCACACATTCTTTCCAGTGTCTTTAACACCATATGACCCAAGTGATGACAAAGTATATGTAAGCAATAAGGTTCAAGATGATTTTCTGCCAACACAAAAATATTTACGGGTAATTTCATTGTCAAGATATCGAAATATCACTCACTTACCTGATTCCATTGGTAATCACATACACTTGCGCTACATTGATCTCTCTTATACGGCAATTATAAGGTTACCAGATACAGTGTGTACCCTCTCCAATTTACAAACACTGTTGTTGTTAGGTTGTTCTTCTCTTGTTAAACTGCCTGCAGACATGAGGAAATTAATTCATTTGCGTCATCTTGATATTGGCGGAACTCACATAGAAGAAATGCCCGTGCATATGGGTAGATTAAAAAGCTTGAGAACACTGACAGCTTTTGTGTTGGGGAAATCTACTGGGTCAAGCATTGCAGAACTGAGGGAGTTGTCGCACCTTCGAGGGAAAATTTCTATCTTGAATCTGGAAAATGTAGTCAGAGCTATTGATGCCTTGCTGAAGGATAAGATTGATCTCAATGAGGTAGAGTTGAAATGGGGTTATAACGTTTTCCATGATTCCGTAAAAGAGAGACAGGTACTTGAAGGACTACAACCTTCGGTAAATTTGGTGAAACTAACAATCAGATTTTATGGTGGAACCAGTTTCCCGAATTGGGTGGGAGACTCGTCCTTCCCCAACCTACAAGTGATGCGTCTCGAAGGTTGTAGTAATTGCAGCTCACTGCCACCAGTTGGTCGGCTACCTGCTCTCAAAGAGCTCTACGTAGAAGGGATGGAATTTGTTACGAGTGTTGGTGTTGAATTCTATGGGGGAAATCAACCATTTCAATCTTTAGAGAAGCTAGAGTTTAGGAATATGCGAAGGTGGGAGGAATGGCTGCCGAGTCCAAGTGGAGGTGAAAGTCCAGACTTTCCTCGTCTTAAGGAGCTGATTTTAGACGAATGTCCGAAGCTGAGAGGAAACTTGCCCACTCATCTTCCTTCCCTGGAGATACTTAGGGTCCGTCAATGTGAGGTACTACATTTGCCGATGGGGACGCTGCCGTGGCTTCAGATGCTTGAAACTAGTTTTAAAGGCGGGACAGAGTGGTTGTTGGAAATGGTGCACAACGTTAATCGTCTTCAAAGTTTGACTTTATATGAATGTTCCTCACGCTTGTCGTTCCCAACAAATGGTCTGCCCACCACGCTGACGTCACTCAGTATACTATATTGCAAGAAATTAGAATTCCTATCACGTGAGATGATGGCCAAATTGACTTCCCTTCAGTCTTTGGATTTAACAGAGAGCTGTGATTCTCTGAGGTCGTTCCCTTTGGGCATTTTCCCCAACCTTTCATCTCTTATTATCCGTGGTTGTGAGAATCTGGAATCTCTTTCCGTTGAAGGAGGAGCAGATGAAAATCTCAGCCATCTCAACTCCCTGTTTATTTTGTACTGTCCAAATCTTGTCTCTTTTCCCGACGGGGGATTGCCCACTCCCAACCTCACTTCCTTTTTAGTCGTTGACTGCAAGAATTTGAAGTTGTTGCCGGACCGCATGCACACCCTCACCGCCCTTCAAGAATTAACGATAGAAAGTCTTCCAAATGTGGTGTCATTTGCACAAGGGGGTTTGCCTCCCAACCTACAATCATTTCGGATCGGCTGGTGTGAGAGACTGAGGCCTTCAGTGGAATGGGGATTGCAAGGGCTTGTCTCTCTTCTACAATTTCGGATCGAAGGAAACAAGGATCTGCTGGAGACGTTGCTCAATGAACAGCTGCTCCCTACCACTCTTCACACACTCCGAATCTCTTCTGTATCGAATCTGAAATCTTTGGACGGAAAGGGACTTGAGCACCTCACTTCTCTTCAACACCTAAACATTTTATGGTGCGCGAGTCTCAAATTCCTGCCAAAAGAGGGTTTTCCGGCGTCTCTTTCTTATCTGAGCATCTGGGATTGTCGTTCTCTCAAGAAGAGGCATCTGAAGAAGTGGTATGAGAAGGTAGCTGGCATTCCTTGCATAGAGATAGATGGAGAAGTCAACATCTTGTGAGCTTTCATTTCACTCTCTCCAACTCTCAACTCTCAACTCTCAACTCTCAAGACAAAAGCCAGGTACTATTTTATTTATTATTAAATTGATTGTCCTCAGCAATATTCCTTCTTAAATTAAAGTTTCAGAGTCTAATCCCGATGAAATTACAGGAGAGTGCGAGGGGAGTGAATTATTTCTAGTCTGATACTGTGGAACTACTTGGGGGTCGATATATATGATTCTCCTGCATGACAAGAGGTAAAACCCTGGATGATGCTTTTCTCGTACTTGTCTCGTTTGCGACATAACTCTGATCTTCTGCTTGTGCGATGGGACAGACAGGTATATCGGATTATCCAATGGTGCTCTGATTTTCTGGACTGTCAAGTTTGAAATCTATTGCATGGAAATGGACTTACAACACCTCCCACTCTCGCAATTCCTGACGGGACAGGGACCTCTAGACCTCAGCTCTCGTCAACAGCTATATAAAGATTGAATGTATCTGGGACTTCGTCGGTCCAGAGAGAAAACTATTGAACTGCAAAGACAGGATTATTGGAGGGAAAATGATGTTAGCTTACACCAAACACTCAGGTACGTACTTGTGTATATATATACTGCTGTGGTTTCCATACGGCGGAATGCTTACTCATCTTTCAACGCATCTGTCATCTTGTGGTAGGTGCATATATATATGTTTCTCTGCAAACACAATGGTTGGAGAGAGCATGGCTTATTGGCACCGCTTGCTAGAATGCCGGTGTACTAGACTTGGTGGCTGGCTGCTGCGTCTACAGATTTCAGTGTAAGTAGTTGAACACTTGAGTGTAATTTGTTCTTCCTTTTGGTAACAACGTAATTTAACTATGCAATCAGTCAGGACAACACTATGGGATTAACGTATTTGTGGGCTTTATTGATGCAGATGGCAACTCTGCGATTGTAAAGATAGGATTACCTACAGCCAACGATTTAAACATACATCAATTAGTTGTCCTTGAATGGTGCTAGCTCCAGCTATCTGGCATGAATATAATTCTCCTTTAATTGGAGGGGTAACCCCTGATATGATGTTTTTTTATATTATACTTTTTATTAGTTTGAATATGAGAGGCATGCCTTTTCATCTTCACTTGATGTGACTCTCATCTACAAATGGGCGCAGATATGCTTTTGTACAGACAGAGTGCGCCTGATCTTTCGTCATGCTTACGGATGTTGGTATTCCAGTAAATGATATTACTAGAATAAGGGGTTGGCTGGTGTTCTACGGATTTCAGAGTGATACTTCTTACATTGAGCACTGCAGATGAGCGGTAATTTCTTCATCTTTTGGTTTTAAGTTCCATTTGTTTGTTTTCTGAGATACATGTGTCAATAATAATTTCTTCATTTTTGAATTTAGGAGTATATTTTTAATCTGAGGTATGAAAAAGGAAAGCAGTTGAGTTGGCATCCTACTGACGTGGATTTGAGAGAAAACATGCTTTTCACAGTTCGATTTGGAATGAAATGGTAGAAAGCGTGTGAAGGTATAGCTCCGCGTTCTTTTCCTACATTTTCATCAAAACTTGGCATCCACATACTCTCCTTACAGAAAAATATCTTCATGTAGGTCCACTGGAGATATGTTTCTCTCTTTTAACACAACAGTTGAAGAGTGCCTAATGGCTGAGCTTGCTTGAATGCCAGTATGTACTGCAGATCAGCTGTAAATTAATTTACTTTCTCACTTTTTCTATCTTCAGTTTGCCTTGTCTATATTGTATTTATATATCAGTCTTTTTCTTTGACAGTTCAATTCAACTATATGCTAAGTCAGGACAATGTGATGGTAGTAGCAGGTATATTGGTTTCATTGATGCAGCGAGCAAACAGAGTAAACCTGTAAAGATAGGATTATTAATTGGTGCTCTGGTTTTCTGTCAAGTTTAAAATCTTTGGACAGAAATGGACATTCAACAGGGACCTGCAGACCGCAGTTCTCGTCAACATCTATATAAAGATTAAGTGTATGTGGGATGTCATTGGCCTAGAGAGAAAACTATTGAACAGTAAAGATAGGGTAATCAGAGGGCAAACGATGTTAGCTTACATCAACCACTTAGGTACTTGTGTATATATATGACACCACTTGCCTTTAATTTTGTTAAATTACTTTTTAGCAGTATAATTCAACTGTGATACCCTTTCTTCTTTTCTTATTTTTCATTTCTCCCCTAACATTTGCATGTTTCTTGAAATTTCAGGACAGTATCATCAAATATAATAGCAACTGGTTTTAGCTTACATATCAATTACTAGTTGTTGATTGGTGCGGCGGCAATCTCTCGCATATATGATTCACCCTGCATGGGATAAAAGTATGTCCTTGATGATGTTTTTCTTTCTCCAGTGTACTGCTGTGGTTTCCATATGGCGGAATACTCACTCATCTTTCAGTGCCTTTGTCATCTTTAGGTAGCTGTACACACATACGTTTCTATACAAACACAATGGTTGAAGAGAGCATGGCTTATTGGCACCGCTTTCTAGAATGCCAGTTTTACGACTCGGTGGCTGTCTGCTGCCACGCCTACAGATTTCAGTGTAAGCAGTTGAACACTTGAGTATAACTTATTCTTCCTTTCTGTAACAGTGTAATTCAACTATGCTATCTATCAGGACAACACAATGGGACTACATATGTGTGGGCTTTATTGATGCAGATGGCAACTCTGGAAATGTAAAGAAAGGATCATCTACTGCCAAAAATTTAAACATGCATCGGTTAGTTGTCCTTGAATGGTGCTACTCCAGCTATCTGGCATGAATATAATTCTCCTTTAATCGGAGAGGTAACCCCTGGAATGATGTTTTTTTTTTTCCTTTCTAAATACTGTTTATAGTTTGAATATGAGAGGCATGCCTTTTCATCTTCTCTTGATGTCACTCTCATATTCGCATGGGTGCAGATTTGTACAAACAAAGTGGTTGAACAGCGCGCTTGATCCTTGTAGCACTGTCATCATGCTTGCGTCTGTTGATATTCCAGTAAATGAGCTTTCCACCACTTTTTTTGTTTTAAGTTCCATTTGCTTGTTTTAAAGATAAATTAATCAACAATAATTTCTTCATATTTGAATTTAGGAGTATCTTGTTAGGCTGAGGTATGAAAAGGGAAAGCAGTTGAGTTGGCATCCTATTGAAATGGATTTGAGAGATAATACGCTTTTCAAAGTTGGATTTAGAGAAACGGTAAAAAGCGTGTGAAGGTAAAGCTCTGCGTTCTTTTCCTGCATTTTCATCAAAATGTAGCAGCTGTATAAAGAGAATCTGCGGTCTTTGGATCTTGTATACAGCTGTGATTCTCTGAGGTCGTTCCCTTTGGGCATTTTCCCCAACCTTTCATCTCTTTATAAAAATCATTGTGAGAATCTGGAGTCCCTTTCTGTTGAAGGAGGAGCAGATGAAAATCTCAGCCATCTCAACTCCCTGTCTATTTTGCAATGTCCAAAACTTGTCTCTTTTCCCGACGGTGGATTGCCCACTCCCAACCTCACTTCCTTTTTATTAAGGGAATGCGAGAATTTGAAGTTGTTGCCGGACCGCATGCACACCCTCACCGCCCTTCAAAGTTTGGAGATAGGATTTCTTCCAAATGTGGTGTCATTTGCACAAGGGGGTTTGCCTCCCAACCTACAGTCATTTGTGATCGTATATTGTGACAGACCGAGGCCTGCAGTGGAGTGGAGATTGCAAGGACTTGCCTCTCTTTGAGAATTTTCTATCAGCGGAAACAAGGATCTGGTGGAAGAACAGCTGCTCCCTGCCACTCTTCACACTCTCCAAATCTATGATGTATCGAATCTGAAATCTTTGGATGGCAAGGGCCTTGAGCACCTCACATCTCTTCAACACCTACACATTGAAGAGTGCGAGAGTCTCAAATTCCTGGTAAAAGAGGGTTTTCCGGCATCTCTTTCTTATCTGAGCATCTGGTATTGTCCTTCTCTGAAGAAGAGGTATCTGAAGAAGAGGTATGAAAACGTAGCTCGCATTCCTTGCATAGAGATAGACGGAGAATTCAACATCTTGTGAGCTTTCATTTCACTCTCTCCAACTCTCAACTCTCAAGACAAAAGCCAGGTACTTTTTTTATTCATTGTTAAATTGATTGTCCTCAGCAATATTTCAACTTAAATTCAAGTTTCAGAGTCTAATTCCGATGAAATTACAGGAGAGTGGTGAGGGGAGTGAATTATTTCTAGTCTGATACTGTGGAACTACTTGGGGTCGATATATATGATTCTCCTGCATGACAAGAGGTAAATCCCTGGATGATTTCTCATACTTGTCCGGTTTGCGCCATAACTGTAATCTTCTGGTAGGTGTGATGGGACTAACAGATATATCGGTTTCACTGATGCAGCGAGCAAGCAATCCTGTAAAGATAGGATTATCAAATGGTGCTCTGATTTTCTGGACTGCTAAGTTTGAAATCTTTTGGACGGAAATGGACTTACAACACCTCCCACTCACGCAATTCCTGCCAGGAGAGGCACCTCTAGACCTCAGCTCTCGTCAACAGCTATATAAAGATTGAATGTATGTGGGACTTCGTTGGTCCAGAGAGAAAACTATTGAACTACAAAGATAGGATTATCAGAGGGAAAACGATGTTAGCTTACATCAACCACTCAGGTACTTGTGTATATATATACTGCTGTGGTTTCCATATGGCGGAATGCTTACTCATCTTTCAATGCATCTGTCATCTTGTGGTAGGTGCATATACATATGTTTCTCTGCAAACACAATGGTTGGAGAGAGCATGGCTTATTGGCACCGCTTGCCAGAATGCCAGTGTTACTAGACTTGGTGGCTGGCTGCTGTGCCTACAGATGTCAGTGTAAGTAGTTGAACACTTGAGTGTAATTTGTTCTTCCTTTATGTATCAATGTAATTCAACTATGTAATCAGTCAGGACAACATGATGAGACTAACATATTTGTCGGCTTTACTGATGCAGATGGCAACTCTGGGATTGTAAAGATAGGATTATCTACAGCCAACTATTTAAACATGCATCAATTAGTTGTCTTTGTATGGTGCTAGCTCCAGCTATCTGGCATGCTCCTTTAATAGGGGAGGTAACTCCTAGAGTGATGTTTTTCTCTAATGCTTTTATAGTTTGAATATGAGAAGCATATCTTTTCATCTTTTTATGACGTCACTCTCATCTTCGAATGGGTGCAGATATGCCTTTGTACAGACAAGGTGGTTGAACAGCTCGCTTGATCCTTGTAGCACTATTCTCATGCTTGCGTTTGTTGGTATTCCAGTAAATAATATTACTAGAATAAGTGGTTGGCTGGTGTGCTACTGATTTCACAAGAATGATAATTCTTACGTTGGGCACTGCAGGCAAGCTGTAATTGAGCTTTCCACCACTCTCTTTTGTTTTAAGTTCTATTTGCTTGTTTTCTAAGATAAATGTATCCATAATAATTTCTTGATCTTTGAATTTAGGAGTATCTTGTTAAGCTGAGGTATGAAAAAGGGAAGCGGTTGAGTTGGCATCCTATTGTATTGAAATGGATTTGAAAGAAAACATGCCCTTCACGGTTCGATTCAGAATTAAATGGTAGAAAGCGTAAGGTAAAGCTCTGCGTTCTTTTCCTACATTTTCATCAAAACTATGCATCCACATACTCTCCCTATAGAAAAATATACTCCACATAAGTTAAAGAAAAATATATACCCCATACTTTAAATGAAATTGTGCCTATTGTTGCCGCTTAGGAACATCTTATCTCCTGGAAGTGATCCAAAGGAACTGAGAGGTTATAGCATTCTTCTCACCGTTGTGGATTTCATGAGCAATCAAGAGTATTCAAAGTTGCATCTGGACTCAGAGGTTTGTTTTCTATATATTAGCGTGTGTGATGTTGTGTGACTCGCATAGTAAGTTGATAAACGAAGAAAAAAAAAATTATTTGAACATTGCAGGTCCACTCACTCACTATATATGTAGGCGATCATTTGATTTGTTAACCGTTCTTGAGGAAGATGCAGTGGAGAAATAGACGATGCTTCGCCTTAACCCAAGTTTGATGGGTAAAGTTGGAGCAGCGGGCTCTCAAATTTAGAAACCTTCTTGGTAAGTAGCAACTTAACCGTAGTAATGCTTCATGTACATTATCGCACATAACAGCAAAATTTCCCAATCGCTAAGGGGTCCATTCATTGTTTCTCTTAATATATAGTATTTATTTTTCTGATTTGTATGCAGCCAAATGCACACTTTGTTGCTGCCAGTGGAGTTCATTTTCCTCTGCACGTACGTTGAGGCCAGAGCCCTATGTCGTTGACTGCCGATGGTGGCTGATTTGGAGGCTGCTGCTGTGGTAGTGGAGAGTCATTCCACTCTAGCTTTGGTAGGGCTGTTGCAAAGGAGGAGGATTATTCTGCGTCTGGCCCAGTATTATGCGAGACGAGAGGCCTAAAAGGTTGCACGTAGACTTGCACGATATCAAGAGTTGCTATAGTTTGACGACTCCCCTGGACATTATTTTGGATGTTTTAGTTAATAGAAGCTAGACCGTCATATCTTGTAAATTGTTGGTGCGCGGTACTCTTTTTCCTTCAGTTGGGTTGAAATTCCCGACAAGGTTTTGATGAGGCCACTCTTTAACACCCTATCGTCTTGTACATTTTTCTTTCGATAGTAACAACTAGCACACATTTAGTTAAAAGAAAATTCCATTTCGGGTTCAGACCCTAAAGAACTTTAATCTTAGTAATAGTTGAGGTTTTTGTCGATTCTTCCCCTCCCCCAAACTTGAGTGCCGATCATCTTTCTGAACTTCTATAATTACATGTTTGCCCTCATACATTTGCCATGTGTTGTCCACATAATCAAGATGGTAAAAAATATCAAAATCTAAGGCCACTGGAGAAATTGCTAACTTGACAAGGTTTTGATGAGGCATCCACATCTGGATGGTTTACCTTTGTGTGCGTTTTCTATTACTTGCTTCTTGAAGATGCTCTAATTATTAGCATGTTGCATTAACTCACTTTTGTCTAAAGACTATAGGTTTTTTTCCCACCTTGTAGGTTTTCTGACATTCTCTTCTACATGCAATCTTTATTTGAGACTTGTGTTTGTTACTTGTGCCAATTAAACGAGACGACTTAATCAATTGATTCTATATTTGCCTAAAGATTTGATGGGCCAGTTGTTTAAGTATTTACATGCTTAAACGGAGTGTTGCATTCCTAACTTTATTAAGAGTGTAGTTGTGTAAATCCTAATAGAATATGTGCAAGATTCTATGAGATCTATTAGATACTTCCTTGTACTTGTATACTACTTAGAGAGCAAAATTCTTTTTTCTTTATTACTATAAATAAATGCACAAAAGAGTAATATACATCACATAATTTCCGAACTCTCTGCCGCCAGCCTCCCTTTCTTTTTTCTTAGTCAAGTAAGCCTACAATATTTTTATATTTATTTGTTAAATATTTTACAAACTTATTCTTTCATTGGACCCGCAAAATTAACACTATTATGACACATCACCCTTTGTTTTTATATTTATTTGTTAAATAAAATCAAATGAAACTTATTGCAAATACCTTTTTTAACAGAATATGTACAATAATGCTATTCAGATGTACGAAATTAATCTCATTGCTAACACTCTCTAAACATGCAGCGACTGCAGGACATTGCAAAATAAAGTAAAAAAAGTTAAGATGAATGCAAAAAGTAAACGGACAGGAAATTCTTTAATCGTTGAATTGATGTTGTTATCATTTCATTGTTTAACTGTAAAACATGATTCTTCCATTATTCGGTAATTCTTAGATGACTAAATAGATTCGAATTTAGCTAATATTTTGTACAGATAATTTTTAAATGATAGTTTAAAAAATACATAGTTTGGATTATCAATAACATTGTAGAATTAAAAAAAAAAAAAAAAAAAAAAAAAAAATAGCGAACAAAGGAAAATATAGTTAAGAATTCTTTAAAAGTTAAAACAAAAGAGTTTAGAAATGAGTGTATATATATATGTCTTTACCGGGGAAACCTTTAAGGGAAGGGATTCTCATTTTTTTTTTTGTTGTTGTAAAAATATGGATTAATTGTAGAATCCACACTATATCGAACTTTAACGATCTGAACCGTCTATTTTTCAAGTTGCACCTCATAGATCATCCTTACAAAATATTAGCCAAATCGAAAATGTTTAAGACATCTAATTGAGTTCAAAAAAATTAACGAATAATTTGCTATATAAGAAATAATAAAATTTTACCTTGATAATTAAATAGGCAAATGGTTTCAGATTGAATTAAATTTTTGCAAGGATAATATATGAATCGAGACTTACAAAATAGACAATTCGAATTGTTAAATTTGATGTGGAGTGGGCACCACACATAAAGTGCCTGCTTTACGGGGGTGGAGTTGACTTAAAGTATTTGAGAGAGCCAAAAGTACATTTGCTAACCATTTTCTAATATAATTATATCGAAGTTTATAATTTTGTAAACCAATTACATGGAGCCACACTGAGAGGTCATGCAGTTTACATGAAGTCCAATGCTTGACGGCAACAATGATGACCAAAATTTTTTAGAACGAAGCAGCCTATAGTATAAACTGAATGAATGAATAATTGAATTTGCGGTCAAGATCCAACGATTAAGATTATCAATGCGTACTATGCTCCCGTCCATTTCATAGCATTATTTTCCCATTGATCCCTTACACAGAAGGTAAATTAAAAACAAAGGGAAAATGTCATCCCACCGACGCATTTTCCACACCCTCTTCTAAAATTTCAACTCGCAGACCCAGTCACAACGATGCCTGTCCCTCGAAACTCCAAGGCACAGCCACCAGTTATCACTCTATGCTTGCGTGTGGTCCCCACTGCATTATTGACCAAAACAATACCAAGTCGTCCCGCTACCGATGACCAGGTACAATTCAGATATATAATCCTTCACAGCTTTGCTAGTTCCTTGCTTGAATTTCATTTCAGTTTTGATCACAATTAGTCCTTTTGCCAACAAGAGAAAATGGCTTTGGTTGGAGAGGCTTTGCTCTCCGGTTCCATCCAGGTGCTGTGCGACAAGATTGCCTCCGGAGAGTTCATGGACTTCTTCCGGGCAAGAAGACTCAACCTTTCACTCGTGGACAAACTGAAGGTGACGTTGATGACCCTCCACGCAGTCCTCAACGATGCAGAGGAGAAGCAGATTGTCAACCGTGCCGTCGGGATGTGGCTTGACGAGCTCAAACATGCTGTGTTCGATGCCGAGGACTTGGTGGATGAGATTGATACCGAAGCTTCGCGTCGCAAGCCAAAAGATCGGACTAAGACAACCCAGGTGTGCAACATCCTTTCTACCCCTCTTAATCCTTTTAATTATAAGGGCTTGAACGGTAGAATAGAAGATTTGTTCAACAAGTTGGAACACCTTGCAAAACAAAAGGATGTCCTCGGTCTTAGAGGATGCGTTGGGGCCAAGGTTTCACAAAGAACTCCCACAACTTCTGTTGTTGAGGAAGGATTTTGTACCTATGGAAGGGATGGAGATAAAGAAAAGTTAAAAGCTCTACTGCTGCTATCTGACAATGAAAGTAGAAGTAATTTTTCTGTTGTCCCTATTTTCGGAATGGGTGGGGTTGGTAAGACAACTCTTGCTCAACTCCTTTACAACGATGGACAAGTTAAAGAGCATTTCGATACGAATGCTTGGGTTTGTGTTTCCGAACACTATGAGGCTTTGAGGGTGATTAAGACCCTTATTGAGGAAATCACTAAAAAACCATGTGATAATTTGGGTATGAATTCCCTTGAAGTTCAACTAAGTGAACAATTGATGGGAAAGAGATTTTTACTTGTCCTGGATGACCTTTGGAATGAGAGCTATGATGAGTGGGATCGTCTACGAACTCTTTTCACGTATGGGGCGAAGGGAAGCAGGGTCATTGTAACAACAAGGAGTAGGCGTGTTGCATCCATCGTGTGCAATAGTATTCCAATTCATGACTTGGAAAAATTATCAGACAAGGATTGCTGGCTGTTACTGGAAAAACATGCATTTAGAAATGAGAACCTCAGTGCTCGTCCAGATTTGGAAGGAATTGGTAAGCAAATTGCATGCAAGTGCAACGGCTTGCCTTTAGCTGCAAAAATAGTAGGGGGTCTCTTAAGTTGCAACCTAGACTATAGGGAATGGAATCACATATTAAATAGCAATTTTTGGGGTCTACCAGATGCTAATAGTATTCTTCCTTCTCTAAGATTGAGTTACCATTATCTTCCATCTTACTTGAAACGATGCTTTGCTTATTGCTCAATTTTTCCAAAACACTATGAATTTGAAAAGGAAAGTGTAATTCTACTATGGGTGGCAGAAGGTTTAATTCAACAATTAGAGAGTGAGAATACAATAGAGGAGATTGGTGAAAGATACTTTGATGAATTGTTATCGCGATCACTATTTCAAAGACCAAGATTGGATCAACCAAGTTTCACTATGCATGATCTCATCAATGACTTGGCTATGTTTGTGTCTGGAGAGTTTTGTTTCAGGTTCGATCAGAAAAATTCACATGAAGTTCCTAAAAGAGTTCGCCACTTGTCGTATATGAGAGGAAACTTTGATACATCTCTAAAATTTGAGCCATTAAAAGGAGTTGAATGTTTGCGAACCTTCCTTCCAGTGTCTTTAGCACCATACGATAGCCGTGATCGTGGATATGTAAGCAATAAGGTTCTAGATGATTTACTGCCAGCACAAAAATGTTTACGGGCTTTTTCATTGTCAAGATATCAAAATATCAATCACTTACCTAGTTCTATTGGTAACCACATCCACTTGCGCTATGTTGATCTCTCTTATACGGCAATTAAAAGGCTACCAGATACAGTGTGTACTCTCTACAATTTACAGACTCTGTTGTTGTTAGGTTGTTCTTCTCTTGTTGAATTGCCTGCAGACATGAGGAAATTGATTCATTTGCGTCATCTTGAAATTAGTGGAACTAACATAAAAGAGATGCCTGTGCATATGGGTAGACTAAAAAGTTTGAGAACGCTGACTGTTTTTATGTTGGGGAAATCTGTTGGGTCAAGCATTGCAGAATTGAGGGAGTTGTTGCACCTTCGAGGAAAAATTTCTATCTTGAATCTGCAAAATGTAGTCGGTGTTATTGATGACTTGCTGAAGGATAAGAAAGATCTCAATGAGGTAGAGTTGGCATGGGGTCATGAAGTTTCCAATGATTTTGTGAAAGAGAGACGTGTACTTGAAAGATTACAACCTTCGGTAAATTTGGCGAAACTAACCATCAAGTTTTATGGTGGAACCAGTTTCCCAAATTGGGTGGGAGACTCGTCCTTCTCCAACTTACAAGTGATGCGTCTCAGGGCTTGTAGTAATTGTAGCTCTCTGCCACCAGTTGGTCAGCTACCTGCTCTCAAAGAGCTCTACATACAAAGGATGGAATTGGTTACGAGTGTTGGTGTTGAGTTGTACGGGGGAAATCAACCATTTCGATCTTTAGAGAAGCTCGAGTTCAGGGATATGCCAGAGTGGAAGGAATGGCTGCCTGGTCCAGGTGGAGGTGAAAGTCCAGACTTTCCTCGGCTTAAGGAGCTGAAGTTAATTTGGTGTCAGAAGCTGAGAGGAAACTTGCCCACTCATCTTCCTTCCTTGAAAATACTTGAGATCTGGGGATGTGAGGCTCTACATGGAAACAGGGCCAGTAATACCCTGAACACGGAATCCTTACGACTATCTCTTGAACAACTGACAATAAGTGGATGCCCGGGTCTCTCATTGTCACTGCAGTCGACGGAGACGCTGCCGTCGCTTCAGATGTTTAATATTTCTTGTCTTGGTGGGAGAGAATGGTTGCCGCAAATGGTGCACAACAGCAATCGTCTTCAACATTTGAGTCTTTCGAAGTGTTCCTCACTCTGTCGTTCCCTACAAATGGTCTGCCAACCACGCTGACATCACTCCGTATAGATGATTGCAGGAAATTAGAATTCCTATCACGTGAGATGATGGCCAAATTGACTTCCCTTCAGACTTTGGATCTTGTACAGAGCTGTGATTCTCTGAGGTCGTTCCCGTTGGGCATATTCCCCAAACTTTCATCCCTTTATATATGGGGTTGTCAGAATCTGGAATCCTTTTCTGTTGAAGGAGGAGCAAATGAAAATCTCAGCCACTCTGACTCCCTGGCTATTGTGACATGCCCAAACCTTGTCTCGTTTCCCGACGGAGGATTGCCTACTCCCAACCTGACTTACTTTTCAGTCTTGGCATGCGAGCATTTGAAGTTTTTGCCGGACCGAATGCACACCCTCACCGCCCTTCAATTTTTGTGGATACAAAGTCTTCCAAATCTGGTGTCATTTGCACAAGTGGGTTTGCCTCCCAACCTGCAAACATTTTGGATCATTAATTGTGAGAGACCGAGGCCTTCAGCGGAGTGGGGATTGCAAGGACTTGTCTCTCTCCGACGATTTTGGATTGAAGGAAACAAGGATCTGTTGGAGACGTTGCTCGAGGAACAGATGCTCCCTGCCACTCTTCACACTCTCAAAATCTCTTCTGTATCGAATCTGAAATCTTTGGACAGAAAGGGTCTTGAGCACCTCACTTCTCTTCAAGAGCTGCGAATTTTAGGGTGCGAGAGTCTCGAAATCCTTCCAAAAGACGGTTTTCTAGCATCTCTTTCTTTGCTGGGCATCTGGCATTGTCCTTCTTTGAAGAAGAGGTACGAGAAGAAGAAAGGAAAAGATTGGAAAAACATAGCTCGCATTCCTTGCATACAGATAGATGATGAAATCACCATATGAGCTTTCAACTCACCTCTCCAACTGTCAACTCTCAAGACAAAGCCAGGTACATACGTACGTGTTTAGCAACACTTATCTGTAGTTATGTAAATTGATTGTCCTCAAATGTTCCAAACATACCTGATTGTCTTCAATGTTTGACACTCAACTGTATTTTGCACCACTTAACTGTGTTTGGATGAATGCCAGTACATTGCGTTACTATACAAGGAGGCTGACAAGGAGGCCGGTTGTTCCGCTGCAGATTTCACCGAAGGGATATATCTCCGGTTGAACGCTGATGATCCGTAAATTGTAACTTACCTTCCTTTTCTTTTGCTTTCTTCATTTTGCCATGTCTAAATTTGCGCTTATAATATCAGTATTTATTAACAGTGGAATCGATCTATACTAGGTCTCCCTTGGAGAATTTCAGATCAGGGGAAGTGAGGATCTATTGGAGAGATTGCTCAAACAACAGCTGCTCTCGGAATCCCTGACCGGAGATGGACCTCAACAACCAAGCTCTCTTCAACAGCTATGCATCCGTCGATTGTCTTGCACTCTGCCAGAAGAGGATTTGCCGCAATCTCTTTCATTTCTGAGGATCACCAAAATGTTTGTTCTTCTCTGAACAAGAGGTGTGAAAGGAATATGAATGGAAGAGATTGAGGCAATATAGTTCACATTCCTTGCAACTTTCATTGATACAAATCAAAGTCGGAACTTTGAACCGCTTATTTTTAATTTTGTTCTTAAAAAAACTGCTTATTCTCTACGTTCCTGCATAATTTCTGGTAAATAGTGACCTGTGCTCACCATATTTAATTTATGTTTTATCATATATGTGTGCAAATAATTTAACTCTACTTTATATAAATTATGGTAAATTAATTTTGATTCAAACAACATTTATTTATTTATTTATTTGTAAGTATATGATTTAGCAGGTGTAACAATATTCTTAGTAAAACAGAAAGTTACTGTTTTAAAGTTTTCGGAGAATGGCTCACTTGACAACAAGAAGGTAAAAAAAAAAAAGGAAAGGGAAAAACTTGAAACAACCCTAAACATCTGTGAGCACAAAATTAACATCTCATTTTTCATTAATCTGATCAAAACAAAATGAACACATTCAAGCAGCCAAGATTAGCATTTGCCACTGCACATGCTAACTGGCAGCCTGTACTTATCACTATTCACTATATTAGTTCAACCATGAGATCTCAGCTTGATTCCGAAAGACGAGCAGCAAAGTAGAGAGAAACATGGCAAACTCCTAAAATTTCCGAATATTAAACCCTAGAAGCAAAACAAATTTAACGAACACAAAATTAATGCTGTAATAAGTGTATCCTACGACAGAATGGTAAGAGAACAAGAAAGAGTTGAAAGAAATCACATCGCCGACCTGCGCAGCTCTTCTTGTCCATGTGCAAAGTGGCACCTATCCCCAAAGGTGCATGTACCTTTAGTAAAGTTCTCACAAAGCTTAGTCCTGAAGTTGCTTGCCGGAGATGAGGCTGACATAGCAGGTTTCCTCGTGTTGTGAGGTCCAGCACCTGAACTCACGTTCCCAATGAGCTCACGAACCATAGCACTGGCGTCTTTAATCTGGTCCAAGGTACCCTCAAGCTCAATGTTCCTCAGCTTATGATCTGTCTCATGCTCTCTTATGGAAAGCTTTGCACCAGTCACACGACAAATTTGCTTTGAGTGTACACCGTTTTTCCCAATAATGGCTCCTGCAAGCGAAGCATCAACACTGATCTTAGCCGTGGCAGTGGCCCCAAAACTTCCTACAGCTCCATGTGCCGGTGGGGCAGACTCCATCCGACCTCCCATTCTGCCTGGAAATCCGGCCCCTGCACGAGGATCTTCGTAGGATTGAGCAGTGGGCCTACCAAGCTCCCACTCACCATGGGCAAAATGGCATTTATCCCCAAACTTGCAACCTTCAACCGTGTTGTACTTATTACACAACCGTGTCTTGACAGCTGGAGGAGAAGAACCATCTGGAAATGATGGTGAGGCTGCTGAATTTCTAGGAGGAGGAGGATGGGTTGGATTGCTACCAGTCATCTGAGACACCGCTTTGATGCCACCAGGAACATAATGCAAAAAGTGACATCCTTCACCAAAAGGGCACCCGGAAGTGCTGCATATAAATAAAACAAAAACTTCTGAGCCCAAATATGACAGAAAATGACAAAATGTCACAGAATATGACTAACTAGTAACTATATATCAGAAATGGGCTTATGAGAAAATATCTTCCATAAGCTTTAGTTGGGAAAGGGTTATGTTATAGAAAATATAGGAAAAAAGATACACGAAACCAAGAATGGATTCTTCACGAGAATCACTGCCCAACGAGGGAAAACATATGGTTTTCTTACAAATGTATCAAAATCCTAGAAGTTGTGAAACTAAGTGGAACTTTTAACTTTAGTCAACTATATATCAGGCAATCATGTTTTATTAGCAATGGAATAGTGTTATTTTCACAGGTGACTCAAAGCCAATCTTCTACTATCCAATTACATCACCACCACCCTTACCTGATACTGAAATGAAAATAACAACATACTAAAACTGCATAACACTATCTTAAAGGTCTACCAGAGCTCAAAATCACTGCCGAAAAAGTCTGAGATTGGAAATGTATGACAATTCACAATAAAGCATTGTTTTATAATATAAAATCGCCACCATAACTCAGACCTCACCCTATACAAACCTTGAAAGAGATCAAGAAATATTAACGGAAAAACATTGGAACTTTTTGAAAAAGATCAATGAACAGTCACAATTTAAACAGAAGTTACATATCCCCCGGAGTTTAGCGAAATGCACACAAAGTCCGACACAGTTTCGAAAGAAAACATGACTTGACCTTATCAAAATTCTTAATTCATCTTACTTTTTGCATAGTCCGAACATAAAAAAAAAAACCTGCTTCAAAACTTAGCGAGCAGTTCTGTAGCCTAAATCACTTTGATTTCAAATGCAAGAAAGAAACTGAAGAAAACCATGGTATGAAGGACAACTTCTGCTTCCCATACAACCATGATAAAATAGATAGTATACATTAAGTACTTAATCAAACTGTAGTCATTCAATGATATCTGTTCAGTTTTTGTTAGCATGATTAGAACAGATGATTCAACCTTTACCAAAGCTTTGACGGCCCATTTCATTAGTCCAAATTACTCACAAAAATTGAAGAACAAACTTTTTCTTAAACTTGTCAATATGCATATTACACTTAGGCCATTCATTTTAGATAAGTTAAGATTAGAACCTGAAAAACTTTGTGCATGGCTTCGATTTGCTTCCTATACCAGGTTGAAAGGACTCCATTTCTGTTGCAGAACATTAATTAATTTCCCTCAGTTACACTTACAGTGGATTATTAATCTTCAAAACTTTAACAATATTCATCATCACGTATTCATGTTACCATTGAAGAATCATAGAGTAAGAACAAACCCCATTTTGCTGTTGAACAAAACAGACCTCTAAACCCTGTACTTTTTTTTTGAGAAGAAAGTAAACCCTGTACTTTTTAAACCAAAAAAGAGGAAACAAAATGATAATTAAAATTATGGTTGCTTCAATTCTTAGAGGAAAGTGAAGAGAACATGGGATACTCCATCTCCTTCTCTCCTCGTCAGTCATTAGCAAATAATATTTAAAACAGTGGATTCCCTCTTACTTGAATAACAGCACCAAAATGAGATAACAGATAGCTCTTCTAAAACCAAACCAACAAGACAAACTATAAGTGGTTTACAACTTGATAACAATAGCTAGTGCATTTAAACAATTTCATGTGGTACTACATGATAATAATGTGCATCTCACAGAGAAAATTCCGTACTTTAAACATATTGTTTTAAGGGAGTCTTTTACCAAACTATACTACACCTAAAGCCCTATTTTGAAAAAACATCCCGCAAACACTCAATAACCAACTTCCAATTACATTCAACCCACCAAAGCAAACAATTTTTTTGAAGACATTAAAGAGCACTCTTTTGAAGAAACCTTATGATAGGCAACCCAAATGAATGTCCATATGACATAGCAACAAAAAACCAAATTTCGCTCTTCGAATGCCCCACAAGCTCAAATGAACTAGAAAACCGGTATTTTTAAACTCGCCCGCAAAATTCAATGTTCTTTAAATACTTTTCCTTCATTCTTATCAAGCAGGAAGCTTTCTTAACTTAATTTAACACTTAATGAACTTTCTGAACTATCGAAATCGAGTATCAAGAAAAGCTAAATGCACAGAATCAGAACAAGCACATACCAAACCCTAGATTTCAATGCTTACAACATACACACATGCACACATACGCATATACATATCGGCAAGGTACAAAAATATGAAAATACATGGAAGAAAGGTTGAAGCTTGAAAGCAATGGGAAGCCAAACCTGGCTTGGATTTCTTGAAGCCGCCATTCCCATTAAAGTGCGCAGCTTCCGGCCTGCCTCTCTTCCGGCCACCTCCTCCGAACTCCATTATAGCTCACAGAGAGCTCCGACGTCCGAGCACGAAACAGCGAGAGAGTTCCAGAAAACGGAACCCTAGGAGAGAGAAAGTTAGAGAGAGAAAGAGAGGGAGAGGGTGATTCAATTGAACCGTCTAGGGTTCGCGAAAGAGGGGAAAGGCGGACTCGAAATTGCAATTTAAATTCAGTTAATAATTCGTGACTGTCGCCTGTCTGTCACCAGTGTCATGTGTGAGACGGTGATAGAGAGTCACGTGCGCCTCGTGTGACGTTATCATATGATCGTTGGAAATCCGAATCTTCCTGAATGATAAGACCGTATAGGCGCTAGGTGCTAGCTTATTGTCGACTAGCGCCTAATATTTTTTAAAACTTTGATTTTGCGTCACATAGCCTAGGGGTTAGGCTAGTTGATTTTAAGCCTAGGTGGGCAACTAGGCTCCCCCAAACCCAGTGGATTGGAATGGGGTGGAGGAGTTTTAGAGGAAGGGAGGGGATTTACTTCACTATGCCCTAGGGGATTTGATATGGATGGAAGTGCTCTAAGGGAGAGGAAGTGGGCTAAACCGCAATAACGTGGTTCGAATTTATTTTTAGCGAAAATCAAACCTATAATATCTCACTTACAAATGAAAAGGAATATCATTATTATGTAGTCTTAAGTGGCGGGTTGGGCCGGTAACATGAAAGACAGAGACAAATTCCTCTCTTTTTCGCTTCCCACGTGAATTTGCATGCAACATGTTGTAGGAAAGTCGTTTCCATGCAAAAGTTGATCCGACTACCCATTGTTTCCAATGCAACATTAAAATGACAATTTTATTACTTGTTTTCGGTGGGAAGTATTGTTGGCTCTTTCGGCCCATTTTTAGTTCGACAATCTTCAGACAATTGGAAGAACTCGAACGGAATGACAAACTTAGAGGATAATCTTAAAGTTAATTCTTGGGATCAGTCATCTTAGTGGCAGAGTTAGGAATTTAGGTTAGGAGGGGCCTCTCACAAATGTTTAAAAAAATAAAGAAACATTGCAACACTGCAACACTGCCAACAACCCAACTCATTAACCGCTGCAACACGCTCAATCCCTCTCTCATGCTCACGAACCCATCTCTCATCCATCGTCTAATTATCGTCTCATTCATTGTTTGGTGATCGTCTCAGCCACTATTTTGCCGCTCTAGATTTTTGTTCCAATTATGATGTTTGTTTTCTCGGTGACAATGGTGTTGATTTTCTAATTTTGCTCCATTTCATTAGTACGTTCAGATCAGTTGACTGCCGTGTTAATTGGCGAAAAAATGACCTAATAGAAAGGCTAGCAAGAAAAATAAATAGCACATGGATGAAAGCATAACTCAAGCTTGTCAACAACCAACAGTACCATTGAAAAAAGATTAAACTCTAGGAGAACCCAACTCTCTCACCGACTTCCGCTCTCTCCCTCTTGTTGTGGCTCTAATCCCTTAAAAAAAATCTTTGAAAATCAAAATAATAACTTCAAGATTTCTCTGTGAAAAAAATATCAGGGTAAGCCAGGAACCATTCTAGTCCCTTTATAGCACTGCCCCCATCTATTGTTGCTAACATAATATGTTCCTAAACTTATCAATGATTTACTATTATCATTAGTTTCTCGAATTTCTAGCTAAAATTATTTTTATCTCTAATAGAAGATGATGGGCGTACAGAAGTTGAATGCTATTAATTTCCTCCCAGAAATATTCAAGCTGTGAAGAGAACGAAAGTCTAAACATTTCCTATAAATGAGAGAAATTACCAGTGTCTTGCACATTGTTAACTAACATATTAATGATATGTGTACACGCACTGTGAGAAGCCATTCACAAAGTTGGTGTGTGATACCTTGAGATTTTCTTTATTCACTCTTTAACGTCAATTACCGTGCAAACATTATAAAACATTGTATAAAAAAACATGAGATAACAGAAAATCTATGAAGAGAGTCTCACTTTTGAAAGAGTCTCATTAGCATTTTTCTTATGTCAAATACTACTTTGAAAAGGTGGGAAAATTGAAAATGCATGCATTCTATTCTAGCGTAATTTTATTTATTTTTTGGTAAAACTAGTGTAAGATTTTTTATTTACGTTTAGAACAATCTTAAATAACAAGAAGAAGTAGAAGAAAACTATACACATGCAATTATTGATCACCTATGCAAATTCAAGCCATTCGTTTTGTAATTGTTATAGATCATAAGAAAGTATAAGGATATGTGATTGTAGATGACACACCCGATCTTGATATTCCCCGAACATCAGGTTAGGTACGTGCTGGCCGACACCTGAAGGTGACGAAGCCATATTAGGATGCATGAGAAATAATAAATATAAACAACACTTAAAAGTTTAAATGTAATTAATATGCAATTGAGAAACGTGTCCAGAGCATACGACTAATTCTATATGTAGAAAATAAATGATATAAAATTGAATGAACAAAGGAGTGGGTCCTACATAGAGAGGACTCGAAGATGCTGATGCAGAAGTGCCTTGACACCGGGATTATACGCCTCGATTCTAAGTCCTGAGGGGGCGCAAAACAAACATGAGTGGACCAAGTTATATATAAATAATACTGAAATGGTTATTTAACATACTAACCCCCAAAGTTTTATGGAAACTCAATAGCATAATATGTAATAGGTTTTCTGAAAACCCTAACATGCCATAAAACCTTCATAAAACATACATTATATATAGTGTGCTAAGTAGTGGTATCAAATCGCCCGTAGGTGATGCGAACTAAGTAAGCACACAAATTAAAACCCTCTTGTGACAATTGTAGTATATGAATAAGTAGGGATCGTTCTTAACCGGGGATTAGGAGGGATTGCAAAATCACTTGGAAACTAACTCAAAAACGTAAAATAAAGTTTGAAACACTAAACTAGACTCAAAGAATGCAAAACTAAACAATAAAACACAAAAACAAATCAAAAGACTCAAATAATACAAAACACTTATAAACACAAACTAAGACACTTTCTAACTAAATTGGACACTAAAGTAAAGGGGGATTGAGATTTTGACGAAAACAAAATAAATGCACAAATTGTAATTTAAAGGCAGAATTTAAATATGAATGTGATGAAATATGGAATGAATGCTAGCTAGAAGGTTCTTCTCCACACATGTCACACTTGCATACAAAATGACTTTTAGTTGGTCTTTCGATAAATTATGAAACTCAACACCCCAGGTTAATTAGGTCCGCTTAAATTAACCGTCAAGTTCTCCTTAAGTTAATGAATTGGATGGGTTAGCGCAACGCAATTCAAAACATTCTCCAAAAGTCCTTTACGTGAAAAGCACAATAAAGATACAATCAAAGATCATTAAGCATCATGAAAACTATAAGTGTTGACGAGGCATTCGTTACTATGATGAGCATGAAACTAGTGCCAAGAATTCATTTAACGCGATTGTTTATAAGCAACCTCCACTACTTGTGAATATAAGTTCATAACTATTAGGTGAAATTCACTTATACTCTAGCATCATATTCATGCATGAAAATTAAGCGTGCACTCTCAATCAATATACATAAATAAGTTATCGAACAAGCAGTTAAACAAATTGAATTCACCATTCATGAAATTCCAACCAAAAATAATCAATTCATATTGCAAGCATAAACATGGTTTCGAATCACCCCCTAGCTAACTAGGGGGATTTAGCCTCTCATATTCGCAAAAAGAGAAATACAATTGAATTTAAACATAAAGCACAAAGGATTGATTACACCTAGAACGCCCAACGAATCAACGTGAATTGGTGCGCGTCGAAGCTCCTCTTTCCTCTTCTCCTTGCTGCGGCAATGATGTTTTGTGTGTGAAGGCTGCACGGTTTTTGGGAGTTGGGATGCACGGCTCAAGTGGATGGGAAATTATGGGATCGTGGAGGTCACGGCTTAAGGGGCAGAAATATGGGATATGGTGGCTGCGGCAGATTTTAGAGAATGGGAGAAAAATGGCGGCTGTTAAGGGAAAAATAGGGTGGATGTGTCTTATATGGGATGGTGGCGGCTGGATGAATGAAATTAATTAGGTTGTGAATGGTAAATGGGGGCCACGGCTTAAGGACTAAAAAATGGGAAAAATGGCTGCGGCTGTTTGATATGTTTTTAGGTTATGGAATGGATGCATGGATTAGGTCAAAAAATAAATGGGATTATGCGGATGGAAAGAATAATGGGAAAGAATAATGGAGTGAATGGCTTAGGGTTATGGGATTATGGTGGCTGAATGATTGTAGGTTATGGCATGCACGGCAATATGGTGTGAGTGTGTATGATAAGAAGAATAAAAAAAATGATATGATGCTAATTAAAAATGGAATGAATGGGATTTGCGGCTGGATGTTTTTTTGGGTCATCAAATGCACGGCAAAGGTGGGAATTTTTATATGGTTTATTAGGGTTTTTGATAAATGGGGGGGCCACGGCTAGAAAGGCAAAATAGGTTTTGTGGCTGCATGATGAATAGAATTAGGGAGAATGTGGTTTTGCGGCTAGGGTTAGGAAAATGTATGATTTCAGAAAACTAACCCTAGCTTATTTAAAATTAAATCAAAGGCTTACGAAAATAGGAAATTAAAACATAAATATAAAGGTGCGGCTAGGAAGGGAAATAGGGCTAGGGCCTTGGTTTTGTGTCCTAAAGTGCCTATAAGGCCGTCAAAGTGGCTAGAAAATACGGACGTTTAAGTTTAGGAAAGGTTACCAAAACAGGAAACTTAGGGTTAACTTTCCTAAAATAGGAAGCCTTGTTTGAGTAGGATTCTTCGTTTTGGTAAGAATTCATCGTTGGCGTAGGAATTCGTCGTTTCTTCAAGTCTTCAACTCATTCATTCCTCTTTCGCTCCAAAAGACTCCAATTTGCATCTTCTTGCACACTTTAGCCTTATAATCTGAAAATACACAAAAGTGGCCTTAAACACTAAAACAACTAATTAAACACAACAAAAATGCACAAGAACAAGCTAATTAAGTCGCATGAATATGCTCCTATCAAATTCCCCCACACTTAACTTTTGCTAGTCCTCGAGCAAAACAAAACAACTAAATTAAACAAGACGAAACAAAACAAACAAAACATAACCTAAACCTTCCAACGTTTGCCTCAGGGATTTCCAATGAAACATGACATGTCAAAGATCA